ACCAGTTGATGATAATGAAGATGAAGGCCTAGATGATGATGAAGAAGATGATGATGATGAAGATTATGATGATGATGATCAGGAGTACTACACCATGGATGACCCTGATGCAGCTCCAGAGACAAACCCTACCTCCTGCAGTACCTGTGTGGAGCAGAATGGGTGAGATCAGTGTTTCCGCCAGACTGCAGCTGAGAGGCCGTCCAGTTGGGAAGGGCCGGGTCGCGAAAATTTATTAACTTAGGGAACACGTCGCGAAAATTAACTGGAGGGGGCGGGGCATTTGTTTACACTTGTTTACAAGTTGAAACTGTCCACAAGCATTCCACTATTTTTTTTGTATTGACATAAAAACACTGTTACAAATGGCAACGTATCGTCAGGAATACTTAATTAGGACATTCTGCTGCAAAACTCCGAACATCGGCATCATTTATTTTAATTGTAACCACCAGTATAACAATACGCTACTTTTTACGGTGTTTCTACCTCTACTTAGTAACATTCCATTAAAGAAATTCATTATTAAGAATTTTTGAGAAAATGTATGTATCCATATGCCGATTTGTGGTGCCTTTCGCGTATTCAACTTTCAAGCAAGCCAGAAGTGTCAGCAAACCGCGGCGTGGACAGCGAACTGCGGCGTGGATTTTCATGCAACCCGCCCGCTACAAGACCATCAAAAACGTAACTCTCAAAAGAATTTTCAAATCCGAAATGATTTTGTTCAATCGCGAGGAAAAATATTTGTGGATACATTTTACCGGATGGAAACTTGAAAAACGGGTTTTAATGAGATTAACGTATGCGAAAGGCGCCGACATCAATTGTTCGACAGCATATAACAATAACAATAGCTGTCGTAACATAGGGCTGTCGTAACATAGGGCTGTCGTAACATAGGGCCGACCCTGTTTATTCGGCAGATGAGAGTAGACATCCAGGTTATAAGATATCCCCAAAACATTTACTCAAGCAACTGGATATGATTTTGGAAGAACAAGAACAGAGACAGGAATAGAGACATCAGAAATACAATGTTACCTGCACAGCTCCAATTTTACCTGCACTAACCTGCATACACAGGTAGGATTTCTAGCTCTGGTTATCAGTACCTAAACATATTTTATTCCTCCTGCTATAGAGAGGTTGGCCTTCGATGACCCAGAGCTCCAACATGAAGACCTAAGCTTTCTGTCCAGGGACGAGCGTTACACCTTAGGGTTGAAGAAAACTATCCGCTTCCTTAACAAATGTTGGGATCTGGACATCACCGGCATTCAAGATGTCAACACCTACAGGAGGTAGGTACAATGATTGTACAACAACAACTTTGAAGACCTTTAAGTTATATACCTCCATGAAATATTTAGAATTGTAATGGTGGTTGTGTCCTCACTGACTCACTGTCCGGTTTATGTCCTGTTGTCATAATCCATGGTGTCTTTTCTAACAACACCAGTTGTCAAGGAAGTCATGTAGCCAAAAAAAAAACTGTCAAGACACAGAGCATGTCCAGATGTAGATGTGAATTGTGATTCCTGATTTTCTTCCTCTGGGACAGGCTAAACCCAACCATATCCATTACAACCTGACTTAAAGGCCATGCTGAAACACAGACACACACACGGACACACACAGACATACCAAAAACAATACCAAAACATTTATTATCCCAAAAATGGTGTATCTAATAATATAATTGATATGAACAAGATTTGAATCAGTTTTAAATAGGCTGGAGAGAACCCTATAGCTAGAAGACAACACCTTAGTTTCTTAAATTATCTCATCTTGCTCTTCTTCTGTGAAAACAGGGCAGTGTTCAGAGGTATGCTGGAGCCGTTAAGTGTTCACTACGGCATGTTCCTGCCCACCTTACTGAGCCAGGCTACAGAAGCACAGCAGGACAAGTGGTTCTCCCAGGCCCTGAACTATGCCATCATAGGAACCTATGCACAGACAGAGATGGGACATGGTAGGTGTTCTTCAATATAGAAAAAACATTCAGGTAACACTGATTTAAGGATGACATCCACGCACGCATTGATTTTTGCAATTATTAAAAAAAAATCACCTCCTCTGAGGCTCTGGCCTGGGTACCATCTTCCATATTCCCTATACCTGTGGTTAAGTAGCAATTTTTTGGCTAAAATTTTTATTTTTTTTTAGTGTGCAGTGTGCACTAGTTTGGGGGTCTTATTGTCATTCTTAGAATTAAGTCAGTGTGACTGTATTGACAGTGTGAAAGTTTACAACTTGTGACATTTGTACTGTATTTTTTCTGTACCCAGAAATTTCTGTGAAGCTGAGAATATTCTACAGTATTGGTGAATTTGTGGCAATCTTTGCATCAAGTATTCTTTGAGAAATTGTCTTACTAGAGGCATTTTAACTTCTTTCAAGACAGACAAAACAACATAGCAACACTATATACATGTATGATATAATTAAGATACCAGTATCTATCATATTTTTTTTCATAGGCACATTTCTACGTGGTCTTGAGACAACAGCTACTTACGACCCTAAGACAGAGGAGTTTGTACTACACAGCCCGACACTGAGCTCTGCCAAGTGGTGGCCTGGGGGGTGTGAGTTTCTGTTTGTTTTGTAGCAGGATATTTTGATACTGGGACATGGGTCAAAGCTGATGTGTTACACTTATGGGACTTTATACCTGATAACAGGACAGATACAGACAAATCAGATGGGAGATAGAAAAGATTATGAAGTATACGCCTTTCAATTTTTCATTTTTCAACTCTTTCCAAAGTTAATTTCATCTGGGTGGTAAAACAAAGGATATTGGGGTTTTTCTTTTTACACAATCGGTTATGTTTGGATGTCTATGATCAGACACCTTCATCAGAGCTTCTGACTGGAGTACCACTTACATCGGGTACACAAAGCGGCAAGCAACAGCACTCCAGTCAGAAGCTCTGAGGAAGGTGTCTGATAGACATCGAAATGTAAGCAAGGTAAGAGCCTTTACCAGCTGTGTAAGAAAAAATCCCAATATCCTATGGTCTACCAACCTGATGAAATTATTTTTGGTTCCATGATTGTTGTTTTCAGTGGGGAAATCGTCTAACCATGCCTTGGTGCTGGCCCAGCTGTATACCCAGGGCCAGTGTTACGGCATGCACCCCTTCATCGTGCAGCTCAGAAGCACAGAGGATCATACACCCCTGCCAGGTACATCTTTCAAAATTCTCAGTTTTTCTTTCCCTAAGACCACATAAAAAATAAATGGAAACTAGAAACTTACATTTGCAAAGGAAATGCATAATCGCTACCTTCTCATATGGTCTGCTCTGTTAATTCTTACTCAAACACATTCATGTACATGTATGTGACAGGAGTCTAAATCCCTTCTGCTATAAAATTGCAACATGATGTAACCCAACACTAGTCACCATGGAGACAGATGTCTGGTTCAGGTCATTGACCTTTTTTGTTTAGAGAAGAAGAAGAGGAAGAAGAAGAAGAAGAAACAGATCAAAAACAATATGTTTACCTTCTCCAAAGGTAGACATAAACTGTAACTTGAATTTCATTGTTTTAGAGTCATCATCATATTGTTTCAATGTTTTCCAGGTATCACAATTGGTGACATTGGGCCAAAGTTTGGATTTGATGAAGTAGACAACGGCTTCCTCATGATGGACCATGTGAGGATCCCCAGGGAGAACATGCTCATGAAGCATTCTCAGGTGACTTGTGATTGGCTGTTGCCATTTGTTCATGACCTGATCATGTGACGATCATGTGATGATCAATTGCTTAGAGAGTTTTTTTCAGAAAACAATGCCTTATCTTGTAGGATGCAGTAATAAACAAGTACACATGTATTAAATGATCAGATATACCTGAAATACGCTAAATGACAGCCACTTTGATACTAAAAAGTCAGTAAATCAAGCAAATGTCCTAGGAGAAATTTGTAATGTTTGAATCAGACTGCCAGCAGGCCTATCTCCAAAAGCCCAGCTTCTCTGTGTTGTTTGTTTGCTTGTTTGTTTGTTTTTTGGCAGAGAAATCTGGCTCAGGCAGTGAGAAAACATCATGATCTTTTACAACATCTGCCTAGACCATATTATGCATGTAGCTGGCCCCTTGCTTTTCTTCCTTTTTTTCTTTCCTTTTTTTTCCATGTAAAATACAAATGTAACATTTTCTGTACTAAAATCGCAGGTTTTACCCGACGGAACGTATGTCAAACCTCGTAACAGCAAGCTGGCCTACGGTACCATGATGCTGGTGCGTTCGTACATTGTTTCTGACGCTGCCCAGTCCCTGTGTCGAGCCTGCACTGTCGCTGTACGCTACAGCTGTGTCAGGAGACAGTCAGAGATTAAACCAGGGTCAGTCACATTTTATACTTCACTCCAGTATTCAGGAAAGGGAAACATATCATAAAGTCTGTCGACTTTGTTTCATGCTCTGCTATATTTAGGTGGCTCCTGTTTCCTGCTCTGCATATGCATTTGCTTGAAAATGTTACCTTTCTAGTCTACAATATGTTTTTCAGAGAGCCAGGGCCCAAGATCCTAGACTACCAAATGCCTCAATCCATTTTCTGTAGTTTTCCAGTGATTATTGTAACCAAAATAACTGTATAATGTACCTATACCTCCATGACTGTGTCTGTATCTGTATAGCTGGTATAACTGCCCTTCGACGCAACACACCAGCTTCGCAGGCACATGGCGTGGCGACAGCTGGCTACATCGCCCCAAACAACTTGTTACACCTAACCCTTGGACATCAACTCTCAATTTTGTTTAAAGCTATCTAATGATAATGCCCCTACTGCACTTGGTAACAGCAAGTCTGCAATAGTTCTAGGAAAGAATGAGTTTTTGAACACCTTAATCCTTTGTTGACAACTCTGGTACTTAAAGGCATGGCTATTTCTTGTTCAAATGTGTTCTACAGGGCACCAGAGCCCCAGGTTCTGGACTACCAGACCCAGCAGTACAAGTTGTTCCCACTGCTGTCTGCTGCCTACGCCTTCTACTTTGCCAGTCACTACATGATGGACACATACTTCCAACTGTCAGGAAACATCAGCCAGGGAGACCTCTCACAGCTGCCTGAGGTCTGTGTCTAAGACTTCTTATTTATTCTAGACAGTGCTGTTGCAAGAATTCCACCCTAACAGTGGATGAGTATACAAACCCCCTCCAAGAAACTTCTATAATCATACAAGTTCTTGTCACGTCAGTGGGATCAAATGTCTAAGTAGTTAGGATAGCAGATACAAATGTATGAGATTGAGAGGTCACTTTCTTTGATTCTTTGAAATTCTGACTAGATATGTCATTTAAAAAGGCACTTTACACAATTTCCACACTTCACACAGATGTTAAGTAGGTAACTGACACTAATTGGGAGTGGAAGGAGAGAGATGGGATCCCATCTTCCAATACTGTGCCCTAGACACAGTGGACTAACAACCCACTGTCTCTATGGCTTTAAAAAGGCTATGGGGCCACCTTTACCTTTTACCTTTGCCCACATTGCTTAGAAATTGAGAAGGGTCGTCACAAAAACATACCAGCCAAACAGAGAATGTGTCCTGCCTGCAAAGACAAAGTTGAAGATGAATACCATTTCTTGACCATATGTCTTTGCAATAACAAAGGAAAAGACTGAGTAGTGATGTCATGTAAGAACAAAACCTTTACATTATTTTACCTTTGCCCCAGATCCATGCGTTGTCCGCTGGTCTGAAGGCCTTCACCACAGCCGTGATGTCATCAGGGATCGACACCTGCAGGATGGCCTGCGGGGGACACGGGTACTCACACGCCAGCGGTCTGCCACTGCTGTTTGCCAACGCCACGCCTGCCTGCACGTACGAAGGGGAAAACACTGTCATGTTCCTGCAGACGGCCAGGTGAGGTATCATACCAAAGTTGTAGGGTACTCACATGCAGGATGGCCTGCGGGGGACACGGGTACTCACACGCCAGTGGTCTCCCACTGCTGTTTGGCAATGCCATGGCTGCCTGCACGTACGAAACACTGTCATGTTCCTGCAGACAGCCAGGTGAGGTATCATACCATAGTTGCAGGGCAATAAGTTTGCCTATGCCACAGCTGCCTACACAAACTTGCATACTACAAGGAGAGGTATCATACCAAAGTTGTAGAGAGTCATCCACTCCCAATGTCATGTCTGATTTTACAAATAGAAATTATTTAACTTGTAATTCCTGCTGCAGATATCTGGTCAAGTGCTACGGGGCTTCAAAGACAAACGAGAAGCTTTCCGGCACAGTGGCCTACCTGTCGCGGGTCCAGACAGCTGCAGTTTCAGGGAAAGGCGCCAGGGATCTTCTGGACTTGGAGGAGCTAGTGGGGGCCTACCAACACCGAGCTGCAAGGTAAGGATACATTGGATACAGAAACGTTTTAATGATTTTTAGCCAGATGAATAAAAGAACTACAGGTATAAAAGATTATTTCTGTATATTACTAGGTTTTTCATTTGAAATGTTGGTACAGAAGTGTAAAACATGTGACATATCTTTCTAACTATGGAGCCTTTATTTTGTTAGGGATGGACTTTTGGTGACATCATGATTCTAGACTTATTTTGGAACGTAATAGAGATCACAAAATACATTGTGCATTGTTTGGAAAAAATCTGTCTAGCTTGTAGACCTTGCAACATACCATTGGATACAAAGTCAGCATCATTGATGTTTTGTATTGTCTATCTATCACCAACATGTAGGCTTGTAGGCATGGCAGCCAATCAGCTACAAGCACACACAAAGGCTGGGAAATCACCTGAAGACGCCTGGAACAGCTGCTCAGTACAGCTGGTAAAGTGTGCACAGGTGAGGCCATTCTTGAAATTCTTCTTATGGTGAATAAGACAGAAGCAAGAAACATGTAATACAGATAGGTAGAGACATCCAAGGTTATCATAATATACTATAAAAGAAATCCACGCACAATTGACCTATCCTGACTGTCCATCACAATTAGCAGTTAAACCAATGAGAGAATGGCAAATGACAGTTCTAACCAATGAGAGAATGACTACGTGTTGGTCATCTCATGTACATTTCTACTTTTTGATGGAGGCAGGATGTCCAGTTTTGGGTTCAGTCTATTACCTTTTTATATCATAGTAGATTGTGTGAACATTGCTAAGTTGTACTAAACTTGACTATGGATAAATATTGTCCTGTCCTAGGCCCACTGCCATTTCTTTGTTGTGCGTAACTTTGTGGACACAGTCCGGACGGCAGATGTGGACCCTGCTTCCCGTGCTGTTCTGACCACCCTGTGTCAGCTGTACGCTATCCATGGCATCATACAAAACTCTGGAGACTTCCTAGAGGTAAGGATCACAGAGTGGAACTCGCTGTCACCAAGTACAGTAGGGTCATTATCATTAGATAGCTTTAAATAATGTTTAGAGTTAGATGTTCAAGGGTTAGGTGTAACAAGTCGATTGGTGTAATGCAGCCAGCTGCCACCACGCCGCGTGCCTGCGAAGCTGGTGTGTTGTGCAGAAGGGCGGTTATACCGGCTATACAGAATCTGATACAGATACAGAATGAGTATGCATTAACAGCTGCCTATGTGGCAAGATACCAATATTAACTTGCATCTAGATGGAATAAGGCCAAAAAAAGCTGAGTTGTAAATGCCATCAGTCAGGCTGTTTAACATATACAAGTCTCGATCTGTCTGCTACTAATACAATGTATATGGTGTACTAAATAAAGTTCAGAACTCAAGGTCCAAAACTTAGATTAGTACATGCACAGTTTTAGATTAGCATTAGGATATAGGTTATGTCTTTTCAAGGAAAGAATGCTAAAACTCTGACTTGTTCTTGTCAGTAGATAGACTAAAATCACAGCAAACTTTAGATGTATTTAAATGAGATGACTTTTATATATAATCTCACTGAATATCATCCAGATACATTTTGTACATGTAAATCAAGTTTCTATGGCAAAAGTGGTAAAGCTGCATTTTTTTCTTGTACCTTTGAGGACACCTACTTGACAGGACAGGAACTGCAGCAGGTGAACTCCCACCTTGCCTCGCTGCTCGCCAAAGTGCGGCCGGATGCGGTGGCTCTGGTGGACGCGTTCGACATCCCTGATGAGATCCTACAGTCGGTACTGGGGCGATATGACGGGAACGTGTACGAGAATCTGTACGAATGGGCAAAGAAATCCCCCCTCAACAAGTCACAGGTACTTGAATGAAAGCTCATCTGCTGGTCGAATCCATAGGTGTAAAGATCAAGCTTTGTTTCAACACAAGAAAGGGACTCACCTTAAATTTTCGGTCGATCTCATCAACCTTCGTCAGATGTGTGATGCACTGTACTTCTAAATCAGAAACTCATTCAAACTGAGACAAAGCTGGTTGCTACAATTACTAGTAACTGCATGTACTACAATACTGCTAGTTTTGAACCAAGTGTAGTTGTAATACCTACATGTAGTACAAACTGTTGGAAGTCTTTGTAACATTTGTGCTCTGTTTCCGTCCAGGTGCATGAGTCGTATCACAAGTACCTGCGGCCATTCCTGCAGCAGAACAGGGCCAAGCTGTAGGCCATCTTTCTGCTGTCCATGGTGCTGAAATGCCATCTAGCAGTTGATGTGAGAACTGCAGTTTCAAGTTAAAGCCAGATGTCTATAGCCTGGGTACCATCCTGGTTAGTTTACGTCCGCTCCCACAGTCGCTGTAGGAGCGGACGTAAACTAACCAGGATGGTACCCAGGCTAAGATGCTACTCTACAAGCAAAGGAAAAAATCACAGACATTACTACCCCTGATCAACGAAAACCTCTGCTTGGATTTTATGCAACACGAAAGAATTGAGATACGACCATGGTATTTTTAATGATTAAAACAAAAGAGGAGAAACTATGTTCAACTTGATTGAGTTTGGAGTATTACAACTGAAGCAGGATCTTGCCAGCATCTACATTTTGAATTTTTCTGGAATCTTGTTGCTATAAGAACAAGTCTATCTGTTTAGATTACTCTACCAGTACCTCAATAGATAGAATGGTTGCATCTATAAAATATTGAACAAAATTAATATTAGGTTAAATCAGGCTGAGAGAAGAGCATGGGTTTGTTGAAATGATGGAAAAGAATGGAGTGTAAATTTTGTTTGCATAGTGTCAAATAAAATCCTTATGGGTGTATCTATATTGTTGGAATCAAATCAGTATTGCTATAATATTTCAAAGTACTGTACTCAGTGAGATACAGTTTTAATTGTATCCATACATCTGGATACATTAAGATGTTTCAGACACCATCTGAATATCCTGCATGTCTAACCTTCACAAAAGTACCAAGTAAGATATACTAAAATATATAATTCACATGGATAAAAATATAATACTAGTCTTGGATGTTGATATATTATTATGAAGGTAATACCATTCCTGTCAGCAAAGTTTAAACAAAACTGAAATTGTCAGACTTTTTCTTGTAGTTTTAAATGATGTGAATCAAGAATTATTGAAATTTGACTTTGTTATCATGAAGGGAAATGGCCAGGGGTAACAGTATAAAGTCTGGTCTCGAGAAATAGATTAGAACAGGAAATACATGTAAGTCTCATACAAACACAACCTTTCAATGCACATTTACCTGGCCAAGAATGTTGTACATCTCTATAAATAGAGGCCTAATACTGATAGAAAAGTAAATACTAGATACCAAGGCTTGATGAACAGAATGAAACTAAGTATTATTTCTCAATGGGAAGAAAGTAAATGTTGTTCACTGACGGTCTGCTTGGCAATCTTGAGTGTCTTTTCTTGTCACTGAAGCTACATGTAGTCTTGCTTTTCCCCGGCTTCCTAATTAGTCTGCCACCCAAAAGCTTGATGGCAACTTCCTCTAAGCCGGGCGGCAGCTCTTTGAGTGCCAGACAAAGAGCTTGTGTTTACAGGCTAGTGGTAGATTGTGCAGTTTGATACCAATGTTACTGTTGCTGTAACTGTTTTTGTAACTACATGTATAACTGTGTGTTTTCTTACTGTAATGTAACTGTTGCTGTTACTTTATCTGGGTCCCTTTCTTGCACTGAAATTTTTTTAATGCCAAAAATAAGCCAAACCCCAAACCTCTGCTTGGAAAGTATTCTAGCTCTTGGATGAGACATGAAAGTCAGAGTACAATTGTACAATGTATGCATGTTTGAGGTGGAGCAAATTAATCACTCTTGTAAGAGCAGGGGTCTATCCCAGTGTGAGTGGATCAAACCTTACAATCTGGCACTTACAGTCTGGTCTTGCGCAGCAAACTTGTGTTGCACCTTTGACTAAAACTCTTACCTAAACCAATGAACACCAACAAATGAAAACATTTGAAACGGAAGCGTTGTATTAGCACTTTTTGTGTGTATGGACAATTGCGAATCTCAAACAACAAAATCATATTAATGACATAGGAAAGGAATTGTACCTTACAAAAGTCCCTTCACCATAGGAATTTGCACTGTTAATTAATGGCCTCCAAAAGGTCTTGCAGCATTCAATACCATTCATCTGGCCATACTTAGTATACATCCTAACACCCCTCCCTTCTGTACATACATGGTATAGTCCATCTTGATGTTGCTATACAGTTTAGGGTGTCCGAGTTGATTCAACATAAAATAATATTAAATACATATCCCTGTCATATACAAATTGTACATTGACGAAATGGGGAATGTACAGGTAAAGTACCTTATTAATTTACACTTATTCAAGAAGTATCCATAAATGAAACATTTTATCAATCATATTATCCTGCAGTTAAGCGATCTGAAAATCATGTGACAGTCATGTGATAATCATGAAGTGATCATGTGACAGCCATGTGATTAGCCATGTGACCATCATGATTTGTAGTTTGACAACAGTTCCCTATTTCGATTTTACCACTAGGTTCATCCAAAAAGTGATTTTTTTTGTACTGTCACATGGGTGAAAACATTAATAATCCACAAAGCAGTCAATACTGTTACTAGGAGTCATTCATTCTTACAAATGCCACATCTGTACAATATTGTTGCAAATATCCTAACAGGAGCCAGAGAGCAGCAGACTATACTTTTATATATAGCAAAATATGCCACGGTTAATACACATCTCACATGCGGAATGTACATGCTACATGTATACACTCGGGTAGTACTGTAAAAATATCTAGCCTTTGCATGTGAGCACAATCAAGCATTCATGTGACGATCATGTGACGATCATGTGGTGATCATGTGGTGATCATGTGAGATACACGATTTTGTCATGTGATGAGGTCATGTTCATTAAAAATCCACAGGAAGAACACATGTAAATAACACTTCAGTTTTCCAGTCTGTAAGATTTTGTTTTTGTCCTTCCTTTTCCAATATTTTAGATAAGAGTACGTATGTTTTCATACAAAGCCAAACTGTTTGGTCTTGATTGCTAGAAGGAGTTTCTGCCTCAGGATGACTTTACTGGAGTACAGAGGGATGTACAGGCGCGAGATGCACGTGTTCGCGGTCGGGAGGTGTTGGTCGTCGGCAGGACGGACCGTGATCGACGGCATGGGCTGGAAACCCTCCTCGCTTGCCGGGAGGTTTGGACTGCCTGTCCAGAAGTAAACCTGCAAGGACACACCATATAAGGTCATGTGGACTGAAGGTGCAGACCATATAAGGTCATGTGGACTGAAGAGGCACACCATATAAGGTCATGTGGACTGAAGGGGCAGATCATATAAGGTCATGTGGACTGAAGGGGCAGACCATATAAGGTCATGAGGACTGATGGTGCAGACCATATAAGGTCATGAGGACTGAAGGTGCAGACCATATAAGGTCATGAGGACTGAAGGTGCAGACCATATAAGGTCATGAGGACTGAAGGTGCAGACCATATAAGGTCATGAGGACTGAAGGTGCAGACCATATAAGGTCATGTGGATTGAAGGTGTAGACCATATAAGGTCATGTGGACTGAAGGTGCCGACCATATAAGGTCATGTGGACAGAAGATGCAGACCATATAATCATCATTTGGCCAAATTAACAAGATTAACAGTAAACTCACCAGGTCCTGCCTTTCTTGGTGAGGCATCCTCTCCACAATGGACCAGAACCAGCGCTTGAACTTGGTTAGCCTCTCCGTACCATCACCTGAAACACAACCCAGCAAATATTAAACAAGCTGCTAGTAGGTTCTTCCTGAGCAGAAGAGCCACTAAAAAATCTGTGACCATAGCATGTCCTGAAACATTCACCTGAGTTAACTAGTTTGGAAGTCTTCAGAGGATGTAATCTAAAAAATTAAGTCAGTGTGGGCTGAGGAGATTTTTTGGACTTTGCTCACCGCTTTCATCGTTGAATGAAGTGTAGCTGATGAGAGTCTGTATGTCGATGGTTCCACACCCGTTCACCAGGAGCCGGAAGTCCTCAGCTGTCAGCCCGTCTAACGCATTTCTGGGCAGGACATCGAACAGTCCACTTCTCAGGGCCTGGGGGAATAAAAATGATCACGATTAGTGTTGTAAATGTTGGAATTGGGCTGAAATGAGCAGGAAATCTATTTGTACATCAAAATACTGTAAATTCATTACAGTTTGTTCCACTTGATTTTGGCAGCATGGTGAAAATAAAGAGTTTGTATTTGCAGTTAGAAACAAAATGGAAGACCAGGTGGTATCAATAAGCAGAGAAACCACTAAGGGTAAACAAATGAAAACTACCAGAACTGCAAACTCTACTCTAAGGGCCAATTTACACGGGCCAAAAAAATCCTTTTGTCCTATGACAATCGATGCGTGGTGCCATGTGTAAACACAGAATGTGCCACACAAAAATTGGACCGGTTTACATGCTCGAAACAACAAATGATTTTTTTGCCCTGTGTAAACTGGCCCTAAGGCTATCGGCAGTCTACATGTAGTAGGACATCCCCAAAATGTCTCCAACATGCTCACCTGCAGTGCCTTCTCGGCACATCCATACATACGATATTCCGCGTATCTGCGGACGTAGTCGTACACGTTGGCGGGGTTCACCGCCATGTCTGCGCCTCCCGGGATCAGCTCGTGTTGACCCCCGCCCTCCTCGCGACAGAGGTCGATACAGAAGGTCAGGTCAAGGGCGGAGAAGATGACCTCTGCGTCGGGCGCCTGTGCATCGATGATGAGCCGCCGCATGCTCTCGTAGGTCACGGGGTCAAAGAACGCAAGGTCGTGCCAAGCAACCTGGAACAGCAAAGAAGACTTCATTAGTTCTGTCTTAAAGCTATATAATCTACAGTTTACTTCTCTTTATGTAAATATCTTTTTTCTTCTGAAATATTGAGATGGACTCGTTTTCTTGCCTTCGCATTTAGGACAGTAATGCAATAAAAAGTCATGCAATAGAATTCTTTCTTCCCACACTAAAAACAGCCCCTAAAATGAATCAAATGGTAGAGTCCAGCTATTGAAATCTAGACATTGGATTTTACCACTAGAGGAATAGAGGGGAGTTTTGCATACCTTCCTGCCTAGCATGACCTTGATGACATGCCGGTTTAGTGTGATGGGACACAGCTCATTCTGCAACAGACACAGCCCCAGAATTCTGCAAAACAAAACAAAAATCAATCATCAATCTAGCAAGACAATTTAGCAAAGAGGTTCAGTTTTTGCTGATCCTTAGACTTACATGTAGAGTTTAGAACGTCTTTAGATAGTTCTTTCAACAATTATTTCTTGTGGGAACAAATCATAACTACATGTATTAGTACTGGGAGAAGGAAGAAACAAAATCTCTAAGACTTACAATATGACAACAAGAGTGGCTGTTTAACCTATCTTTCAAACCCTATTGCTAATAAAACCTTGGAGCAAAATGTCTTACTGTAAACAACTGGTTAGTAAGTTACTGAGTAAAGAGACTCTTTTTACACAACCAAGTGTTTTCTTCACAGCCAACATTATGGTGACCGTCTGTCACCTTCCTCAGGGCTATTCTGACTGGTTCACATTGCACTGCAGCACAGGTGTCGCTGCTATACATGCATTCCCAAATATACAATATTTACATATCTACACATATACAGGAAACTGTATCTACAATGCAGTCCCAAACGTACAGGTGTACATGTATGTTATATACGTTGGAACCCACCTTCCGACGTTCCTGAAACAGTTGAGTCTCTCGGGCGTGTTGCGTCCCGGCCGCGGGGAGTAGAAGCCGCGTTTCCCCGGCTGGTAGAACAGCGGGGAGTTGTCCTCGTCGTCGGAATCCTCGTCATCCGGGTAACGCTCGCTGTGGAACGCCTTCTTCGCCTTGGTGTCTGAACTGTAGCTGAACAGGTCAATAGCTCCCAAGGGGTCAGCAGTGGATTCTCTGTGGAAGTAAAACATTTTCCTTGATTAACATGTTTTGTTTTGTTTTGATTTGATTCATATATCATTGTACAACTTTCAATGGTCTTTCTTTGTAATGTCATACACTGCAGAGCACTAATACTGTGTCTAGTGCTAGTAGATTTTATGCTTCTAAACACACTTTGATATAACCACTCTTCAGTGTAACACACCAGCTCCTTTATCGGTATAGCCTGTGTAACCACCCACCAGCTTTGCAGGCATGCCGCGCTGGTTATATACAATGTACATGTAACACAAAATGACATGTTACACCTAACCTTTGCACATCTAACTGCAAGCACTGTTTAAAGCTATCTAGTCTAGTGATTATACCCCTCCTGTACTTGATGGCAGCAGGTTCCACCCTACAGTTATTGTAGTTCTAGGAAAACCTTCAGACTAACCTTCCATGAGACAGTATGATGTCCACAGCCTCCTCCACGCGCTGTCTCAGGGAGTCCTCGCTGGCCAGCAGTAACAGCAGCTGTGCAGGCGACATCTCTAACAGCATACCAGTGATCTTACCTGCCAGAGACTGACACAAACCAAAACAGTTGCAGCGTTAAAAAACAATCAACAAAAGCCTATGTGCACGTAGTTCCAGAGCAGCCCACTTGGGAGCCCAAACTCATGTTTCTTCTTTACCAGCACTTCTGAGGGTCTAAGGGAATAAAAAAGACCAACACAAACAAACCAAAAGAGTTGTAGCATTACAAACAATCAACAAATGCACCTGCAGTCTGAGAGCCTTTTCCGACATAACATTTAGAAACTACAGACGGCATGTTAACCTTATATGAGCGAATACGACCTTATAATATGAGACATTCTGCCAAAGTGATATGAACAATACATTACGCATTTCGCGAAATGCTGGTCTACTATAAAGGACAGAAACTCACAGGCTGCAGTGCCTGTACTTTAGGGTACAGCCTCTCTCCCAGCGCTTGTCTGTGAGGAGGGAGGGGCTCATCCTCGTTGTCACGGTTACCGCCCGGGTAGAAGGGGCGGGCGTCGATGGACAGCTGGCCCCTCTGATTGGCCGAGCGTTCCCGTTCCCGGGACACCGAGCGGCGCAGGCTGCCGCTGCTGCTGCTGCGCCGCTCTCTCTCACGCTCTCTTTCCCGGGACCTCAGGCGTTGGATCAGGCCTGAGCGAAACACTTAAAATAAGCAAGAATGTCGCACATGATATAAACAATACCGACTCATGTTTCATTATCTAAAGCACTGGGGGAAAAAAGCCAGTGGGGTATATAGAATACAAAATTAATGGCTGTTTTCAGGTACATTCTGTCATTTTAGTCAATGTCTTACAGAAAGAAGTCATACAATGTAGTTAGACAAAAAGTCTGTAAAGTGGAGAGCTTTCAAGCAGTGTTCTAGCCTTTGATCCACCTTTCCATCATTTGGTTGCTATTTTACCTCTCGTGATGGGCAGAATTTTGCCCAATCTGTCATTTTTGACAGACAAAAATTGGTGTGTAAAGATATGGAAAGAGATGTCATAAACTAAACAGCATTTCAGATGGTCATGATTTCAAAGTTTTCCTGTACTGAGGGAGCATTTCGCCGGACCCCCTAGGACTATTGCACCTCTTGTGCTTGACACAAAATTTCAGGCCGGCTAGAACCCTGCTTTCCAGACTTTAGAAAGCATGCAGAACACCGTTGGATGGCTGGCACCAGACAAACGAGAACCAACCACTCACTGTAGTGCACACCTTTGGTCCCCCCCAGTACTGAGTCCAGGTTGGGCAACTTGTCCGACGACAGGAACGCCTGGATACAACAGGGAACAAACAGTTAAGGATCAGTCTGACAATAAACATTTGTAATTGTAAAATGTAGCTATAGTCCCATAGCTTTTATCAGGCTGTAGTGGCAGTAACTGTTGGTTGTTAATCTACTGTGTCTAAGGCTTGGCAGAGCCATCCCTCTCCTTCCACTGCCTTTTGCCTCCCAACCAATTTTATACATGGGTGGAGTTAGGAAAGCCCTGTGAAGTGTTTCTCCCAAGGACACAATGTCTAGCTAGGAATGTCAGGGATTGAAACTACATCTTATTAATGCCAGGGATCGAACCCTCAGCCTCTCAATCTCGTGTCCAATGCTTTAGGAAAGCAATACCTGTAGAATTTAATTGCAAAAAGTAGTGCTCAGTCTTAATGGTGTGAGTGGTTCAAAGCTATCTGTCTGACTTGTCCGTTTTTCACAACTTCTATATCTGAAGTTATGGTGATCGCTTGGATGATTAGTTCTGATTTGTACAGCAGCTAATTGTCATTGCTGCAAAATTATTATGTTACACCTACATGTATAGAAGCCTTTGTTAACCCATGATTCGTGATACACAGAAACTATTACTGAATCCCCACCTGTGCGATAGCGGTGTAGAAGCTGCGTGCCACCCCGCTGCCCTCCCCCGGCTCATCCTTGAAGGTGACCTTGACGCGGTGCACGGCCATGGGAGGACCCCCCGTGGAGCTGCGCCGGCCGAACTGGGTGTTGAGCTGCCGCAGGGTCTGCTGGATCAGCAGGGTACGCTCTCTCTCAACCTAAAGTAAATAACAACATCAATGATAACAACATTACTGCTTTGTAATCATCCCACTTACAGAGAGGGAGGGAGAGAGGAATAAATCCATTATATCATTTTAAAAGATATTCTTGCTCAATAGTTTCTTCTTACTCAAACGCACTCATAACCAGCCCTCCAACTCTGTCCTACCACTTGCTACATAATATGATCCAACACCACAGGGTGTTTGCTACAGCACCAGTTACCACGGTGACAAGTACTAGTATCTGGTCCAGGTCTTTGACCTTATGTGCTTGGAGAAGAAGAAGAAACTGAGCAAGAACAATGTCTTTTCTTTCTGTGAAGGTAAACATAATTATAGTAAAAAAAAGACCCTACCTCTAGAGTGAGATCTCTCTGCTGTGAGTTCCTCAGTTTCTCCATCTCTCTCCTGAACTTGGCCTGCTTGACCTCGAAGCCGCCCAGTTCGGTGAGGACGGAGCCTGGCTCTGCGCCGACGTCGTCCAGAAACACGCGGCCGAACAGCTCCAGACACAGCCGCCACCGCCCCAGCAGGGAGTCATGGGTAATGTACCCCAACATGTTCTGTAAGCTGGAGGGTACACAAGGGTTTTTAATCTTAATCTGCAGACTGCTAAGGTAGCTGTGAAGATACACAGGGGTTTTTAAGGTAGCTGTGAGGATACACAGGGGTTTTTAAGGTAGCTGTGAGGATACAAAGGGGTTTTTAAGGTAGCTGTGAGGATACACAGGGATTTTTAACAAGTTTCCAAGGGAATATTAGGCACTTAACCTAGGCATGTTAAAGAACCCAACACACTTGTCAAAGTTAGAGCATGCAGGCATCTTGGGTGGTGTGCATGACTTAAAACATTGGCTGCATTGCACAGTTGGCTGATGTTGAAAAGCTCTTTATCTGTTTCTTACCTTAGAAAACAGATATTGGTTCTGCAAATATGTTAAAAAATGAATGAGAAAAATTTGATTATCTAGCTTCCTAGAACGATCAAAAAAAATCCTTAAGACACTTTCCCACCTGGATGGAGGTGGAATGGTCTGCAGGTGTGACGTGTCCACTGTGACAGTCGCCCCAACATAGTCCCTCCCTCCGTGCTCAATGGAAGCTCCCGTTTCCATGCCAACAGCCGACTCCGCCCCACCGTGGCCCGTCACTAGTAGTTCGCTCCTGTTTTGGTCTTGAGTTTCGGAGCGGGCGGTAGACTGAGTTCTTAGGTCTAGCGACACATCAGATGGGCCGGGCGTCGGCTCGTTTGGTCTCCTAGCAACAGGGGTGAACGCACTATTCCTATGAGGGTTGAGTCCGAGGTGAGTTGGTAAAACTTCGACCACGCTACGTTCTAGCGCTGCGCTCGCGCCTGATTGGCTGATGATTTGGCGCGGGCGCCCGAACAGCTGTTCCCGCCGAGCGTTCGGTTGGAGAAGGTGCGGCTGCTCGGCCAATGGGAGGGCTTCTGCTAGTGGCAGTTCGAAAGGATCCGGCGGCGGGCAGCCTAGGAAGGTTGTCGACTCCGATCGCTGGAAAAACGGATGTTTCCGTCCCGTACTGCTCGGTATAGTATCGCTGTCCATACTGTCGGTTTCCATTAGCGCTGTGTGGGTGGCGACCTCTTCATCATTTTCGTCGTTATCGTTGTCGTCGTAGAAATCGACGCTGATCGAATCGCGTATGTTGGCACTCTCCGCTCCCCCTTCCGATCCAGACTTCATGTAGTACACCAGCGCGTCGAGAACGTACGCCACATGTTTGAGCGCCGACACGTCCAAAACCGGTAAGATACCAGAGTGTTCGTCGTGGTGCGAGCGCATCAGAGACAGCGCGTACGTCATGAAGTCTCGCCGAGTCGCGCTTGCGTCTGCAAGACTACCCGGGATGATCCGGCCGCGACGCCTGCTCTCGATCTGTCGCAGGATCTCCTCTTGTCGCACGGCGAAGCGGTCTCTGCGCCGGTTCTGTTGGGAGTACAGCGGGTGGGTCGGGTGGTTAGGGTCCGAGGAGTTGGCCAGGGCGGACCCGTAGCGTAGCTGGGCTTCTGTAGAATCCATAACTGTGATGAGCCAGTCCCAGGTACAGCGAAGGTGCATCTCAACATACATCTGTGGAAAACAGGAATTTTGTTAGCACTGAAATGTTGGTAAAATACATTAAGAGAAACTTTGAGCTGTTCTCCAACTCCAGGATTAACTCAAAAAGGTCTTCTGCAGCTTTCTGGCATTCTTTCAGTTTTGTGAACATAGCATTTGGGTCAGAGAGCAGAGGAAGACCAAGTGATTTCGACAAGAATTTATGCAAGTAATTCTTTGAGTTGAAGACCAGTCAACAGACAAGAGTAGTAGAATGGTTTATTTCTATTCACTGAAAAAGTACAGCCCAGTTGCAGCCCGAAGGCCGAATTGTCAGGCTTGTTTACAAACAAAGTCATATCATCATACTACCTCAAATACATACTAAAATGTAAACGGTCAACTTATTTATCACACATACATACATTATTATAGTCAGCGATATCATAGATAAAAATTTGAGAACACGTTAAAACTCACTCTACAAATTGACAGGCAAATGGCTAAAATCGACAATAACATTGTAGGACATTAAAAATTATTCTAAGAGATTATGGAAGGCAGAACACGAAAACAGAACAATCCAAATCATACAGTATAAAACCTGATATATTTCTACCACACAGTGGTAGCTACCTCGCTACCTCTCACATGAGACGTTCCTGTCAGGCTTCTGAATTCTGTCCGTTATTTTGTACACACACATCATAGATCCACAGGGTTGCCCATTAATACTGTGTTCTGCAGCCTTGTATAACACAGACCCTAACCCTATCCCTATCCCTAACCCTAACTCTAACCCTAACCCCCAACCATCCTACCTGCAGATCCAAAGTGTCCTGATAGGTGATAGGCAGAGGTTTGGGCAGTGGTGCGACTGCGGGGTAGTCGGGCAGCATGCTCATCAGGTCTGCGATCTGTCGGATCACGATGCTGAAGGCCCGCGCCAGGGAACTGGCCGTGGTGGAGACGGTCTGGGAGGAGCTGGTATCCGTGGAGACGGACGTGGAGGGCGTGGTGGTGACGGTGGTTGTGCGACGCAGCGTGGAAGGGTCAATGTAGATCAGTCCACCTTGAGCTGAGGGGGGAGAAACAATGTTTACATTCAGTGTTGTTCCAAAGATTTAAATTTAAAATTTGATCCATACAACAGCATCTGATTCATATTTCCTAAAAAAGGTGCAGATAAAATTTGTCTGTTGCAGGTAATTTTCAAATTTACCTGCAACAGTGCAAGTATGCAGAAAAAGGATTTTGAGCCCTGCTACTATGAACATAATAGGGCTCGAAATACTGGGTGGAGCACCCAAATTTGGAGCTGTGCACCCAAGTTTTTTCTGTGCACCAGTGTAGCCAAATATTTTCGTAAGTATATGTATGTAGATATTACAATGTAAATGTATACTATCAAACAGCATATTCTTAACTTCTATGTGTCACAAAAAAATAAAATCGTAATTTGTTGTAATACATTTCTTTGGAAATGAAACATATTTTTTGCTGACATTCTACTTATTCTATTCTATTTGGTGCACCCAAAATTTTGGTTTTTGTGCACCCAATTTTTAGGTTGGATGCACCCAAAAATGAATCTCGAGCTCAGACATAAATAGTTTGCTATCCCTCCTTACAAGTACACATGTAGCTGTAGCAGGAGTAGAACTGGTGGTAGCTGGGGTCTGAATGGTGCAGGTAAAATTTGTCTACAGGTAAAATTTGTCTGGTGCAGGTAACTTCTAATGTTACAAGTAACAGTGCAGGTATGCAGAAAAAATATTTCAAGTCTTGCTACTACAAATATATGTAGAATAGTTAGCTATCCCTCCTTACAAGTAGCAGTAGCAGGAGTAGAACTGGTAGTAGCCGGTGTCCGCGGGGGCGGCTGTCTCACCGCCCACTGCAGCGCCGTCGGAGCCTGGGACGTGTTGTTGCCATGGTTACCGGGCGTGGTGACCCTCTCCAGCTGTTCGTCGGGCAGCTCGTTAGCGATGCTGTTGTTCTCCTCTTCATTCTCGCTCTCCTCGCTCTCTTCTTCATCCTGATTGGACGAGGAGTCTTCCTCCGAGAAGTATGCTGCAACGCTTCCGGCACCTTAAAGGAGACAAAAGTTAATGTTTTTCTTCCTTAGGCCACACCAATTTAATTTGTTGGTACACAGATTCGACCGCTTCATTTTTTATCTGATTTGCAAAAAAAAAAAATGTATCAGCCTCTGAATAAAACGTCTGGTTCAGGTCATTGACCTTATTTGTTTGAAGAGAAAGAAGAAAAAGAGCAAAAACACTATGTTTTCCTTCTGAAAAGATAAACAAAAAAAAACAGTCGTACCTGTCTCAGACCCGGCTGTTGCTGCCGTAACGACGCTGCGCCTGCCGCTGGCGTTGTCCTGGTTGCTATGGTTACTCTCACTGTCACTCTCACTTTCAGCCAGCAGGTCCAGGTCCATGTCACTTTCATTTCCAGCTAGAGTAAAAATTGGAGTGTTTTCATGTATAGTAATGTACAAAACTGGTGTGTTACGCCTTAAAGCAATTTAACAGCTATGCAAATTAAATAAAAAAATCTCTACCATGTACAACCCTATTCCAAGTGTTTTGACCAATCAGATGGCTGACCATCGTCATCATGGTTATCATGTTTTATTGACCAATGAGAAGGCTGACCTTCGTCGTCATGGTGATCCTCTGCCCTGCTCTCCCCGTGCTGCTCCTCGGCGTGGTCCATCTGCTGGTCACCATGGGGACTGGAGTCGTCATGACGATCCTCCTCACCAACCACACCCTCTACTACCTCAACCTGAAACATACATTTTAAAAATTGATTATGAGTGGAAAATGTGCAGTTCTAGTCCAAATGTGTGATAAATGAAGCCGACTACTAAATGTTCTTAACAAACCAGATCTGAGATTCCTAGGTTTTCATACATGTAATACCCTAAGCTATGAAGTGACACCACTTGAATTTAAAGGAAGGAAAGTAATGCTGCAGTTCATTCTATGAGCATTTTGCAGTTGATTCTGAATTTTTTTTTTGCAAGTCAGAAAAAATGAAGCGGGTGAATCCGTTAACTAAGAAATTTAATTGGTGTGGCCTTAACAAAAAAAAGGGAAAGATTTACACTTCTTATCCTGAATATGCTAGTGGTTTCATGAGAAATATGAATGAAGCAAGTTTTTTCCCCACTACAAATCATTCCATACAAGAAAATTGATTGGATAGCTAAAAATTAAAACAAACACATTTTCAGCACCATGGACATGTAAAACCCTCCATTTGTAGAAGATGTTAACTGAAAGCACAGAAGTACACCTACTCCTAGTGGAGGTAATATACCAAAGGCTTTAAATCTTCCTCCATTAGGTTTAAGTTACATTAAGGTAACTCATTAAAAAATGCTCATACCTCTTCTACATCTGCCACCACCACGTCATGCTCCTCTTCCTCCCGCTCCCTCGAGCGATCTGATTGGCTGGTTCCCTGGGGCTGGCGCGAGTATGACACCTGAGACACACGTGGGGGGTCTGCAGATGACGGCCGCGGGGGCAGCGGCTCCACGTTAAACAGCTCTTCACTTCCCTAAAATGGCAGTTAAAAATTCAAAATTTGAATTACTTGAATGCAAAGCCCAATAACCAATGAAAAGGCTTGTGAAATTTGTGCAGCCAATCAAATAAGAACAAAGATCTGTACTGACCAATGGGGAAGGAGCTTTCCTCACCTGGACTGCATCAATGTTGGCACTGACCAATGAGAAGGGGGCAGTGGGTCGTACCACTCCCATGCGGACGGGGGTGATGAGGGACTCGGCGGTTTGGCACAGTTCTTCGATAGCGAGGTTGATGAGGGCTTGGAACGCGTGACGACATTTCATCAGTGGTTGGGATGGCAGCGAGCTGGAAAAAAAATTAGAATTAAAATTAATTTTTTACATCCACATATATGGTGACAGGAGTCTAAATCCCTCCTACTATAAAATTGCAACATGATATAACCCAACACTAGTTACCATTGGTGACAGACCTCTGGTTCAGGTCATTGACCAGGTCAGTGTTTGGAACAGAAGAAACAGAGCAAAAACAATACGTTTTCCTTCAGTAAACGTAATAGTAGAACCACACTCGGTACCTTTTCTTTTTGCCCGGCGTCATGCCAACGCTGAGCACGACGAACACGCGAGCCACGGAGCGGATGAACCGGCGCGAGATCTTGGTGGCCTCCTCCTTCCGTCCCGCCACGGCGTCGTTCTGTAGCTCACGAATCAACGTGCTCAGCAGGGTGTCCAACATCTGTGGGAGTAGTATAGGGTGGGAGTTTAAATTACGTCACTTCAGGTGGACACAGTCGTGAACATGACAGGCATATTTGGCTATGCATGGATGGTGTGCAGCACCAAGGACAGGTTATGTATGAATGGTGTTCAGCACCAAGGACAGGTTATGTATGAATGGTGTTCAGTACCAAGGACAGAATCTGTAGCTCTATGTGCTCAGCACAGTGTCCAACTAACATCTGAGGGAGTAGTATGTGGTGGGAGTTAAGACAACACAACTTCAGGTGGACAGAGTCAGGATTATGGCAGGAAAACTTGGGCTCTGAATCTTTTTTATCTCTGCAATTTGCAACTCTGTATATGGTGGGAGTTCAGATAATAAAATTCAGGTGGGCAACATTTTACTATGATGTGAGTGATTGATTACTGAGTAAGTGAGTGATTACTTCCAACACAGATGAACTTTCATGAAATACCTACCTCCACGCTACATTTCACCAGCAGACAGTGAGTAAAGCTGTCCAGTTTGTTGGTACCGCTCTGTTGGTCCAGGTAGACCTGTTCCTCCGGCAGCAGGTCAGGAATGGGCGAGCGACGGTCCCGTCCCGGACACTCACTGGTGATCATGGCCTTCACCGCCTTCCAGTCCTGCAGGATCCGCTCCAGGGCCAGGCGACAGAACCGCGGCGGCTCAAGGTCATGGTCGGGCATGTCTGGGTCTGAAACAGCAGTCAATCAATTAAAACAGCTATCAAAACTAACCTAGTAACTAGAAAGGTAACCTTTGCAAAGCAAATGCATAATGTTTGCCTTCACATATGTTCTGCTCTGTTAATTCTTACTCAAGCACATTCATATATATGGTCAGACAGGAGTCTAAATCCTTCCTGCTATAAAATTGAAACATGTCATCGTGGTGACAGGTCATTGACCTTTTTTGTTTGGAGAAGAAGAAGAGGAAGAAGAAACAGAACAAAAACATGTTTTCCTTCTGTGAGCTTCAAGGTAAACATAATTAACCTATTTACTAATATACATGGTTTAAACATTTGACAGCAGCCAAAAGCCAATGGCTATTGTCTTGGTGAAAGAGAAAAAAAGTATGATGAACTAAGGGTATCAAAATTCATAAGTAGAGAAACAAACACATTCAAGCCTTTGGCCAAAGCAAGGTTTAGCTTATTAAAGAATTCTTCTCTTTGCAAGCCCACAGCAGTGGACCTACCTTCCTCACCGATGGGTTTGCGAGCGGCGGTTCTGGAGTCAGTTCTGCGCAGCGGGCGGTACTGGCGCTGTTCCACGATCTGTCTCGCAACGGTCTGAACCAGGAACAGCAGGACATTCTCTCCTCTGTAAAGGGAAAAATATTTGTTAAAAAACGAAATAAACAAAACATTGAAACAAATAAACATTTGCATATTGTGTAGTACCTTCACATGGTCTAGCCAAACAAGCTACTGTTCTGTCTTACCACTGTCCTGCCACTGGCTACATAATATAATCCAACACCACAGGGTGTCTGCTACAGCATCAGTTACCATAGTGACAGCCATCTGGTCCAGGTCATTGACCTTACTGGTTCGGAGAAGGAGAGGAAGAAGAGGAAACAGAGCAAAAAACAATAAATTTCCTTTTGCGAAGGTAAACATTAAAAAATGTGTCTGACCTGCTGTTGGGCTGAGTGACCAGGTCGGTGTCGTTGATGAGCCTGTTGAGGAGGTCCAGTCGTGACGTCTGCTGTCCTGCGATCAGTGCCTTACACTTACACTTCTCCCAGCAGTCACAGTATGCCGTGGGCGACGTGCGCTTCAGTCTGGGGAAAGATTGAAAAAATCAGCGATGTTATTACCGTAAACCTGATACACACACAGCAAAACTTGCCCGAGCTACCATCTCTAAATGCCAGCCATCTGTATCTGTATAGCCGGTATAACTGCCATTCGACATAACACACCAGCTTCACAGGCACACGGCGTGGCAGCAGCTGGCTACATTACACCAAACAACTTGTTACCTAACCTTTGAACATCTAACTCTAGACATTGTTTAAAGCTATCTAATGACAATGCCCCTACTGTACTTCGTGACAGCGAGTTCCACTGGCCATCTGGCCATAACGACCGGTTTTCTCGGTCCTGATTTTTTTCCCCACAAACGGAATCAAACAGAATTAAGAGAGAGGTACTTACTTGCAGTCATGTCCCTTGTGGCAGACCCTTGCACACTCCGTACAACAACACAGAGTCCCCACCAGTCCACATGTACGGCACTCAAAAATGTCCTGGGGAAAACAAAACATTAGAAGATGTACCATATGCAGAGGTGGTCTGTGTATCTGTATAGCTGGTATGACGACCCTTCGGCATAACACACCAGCTTCGCAGGCGGCGCAGCGGAAGCTGGCTACGTTACACTGAACGACTTGTTACACCCAACCTCTAGCTCTAAACCTCTAACATCTAACTCTACACATTGTTTAAAGCTATCTAATGTCAATGCCCCTACTGTACTTGGTGACAGCGAGTTCCACACTGCGATAGTTCTAGGAAAGAATGAGTTTTGAACACCTCAATCCTTGGTAACTTGATTACACAATGGTCGCTTGCTCACCTGGTTGATATGCTCAGCACCTGTCCAGGTGAAGCTGCAGGTGTCGTTACAGCACAGCACGTGTAGCGGGGAGTCGTCCAGGTTAGAGCCAGGTGGGTAGATCATACTCATGGCCAGCTCATTGTCCATACCATCCTAAGGAAAAATATATGTCTCATTCTTTTGACAAATATCTATATAAACAAACACACATTCAACAAAAAGTGAGCTACTCTTGGGAATTTTTGAGATGCACTCTGTCTCTTCATCAACCCAGTATCTCATTCTTCCAACCCTTTAAAGTGGCATATGAAACATGGCTGACAGCTGCATTTCCAGCTTTTAAACTCACTCATAAGGTGTGATATTTTGGCACCTCCACTTCCTAACTGGCACTTATTTGCAATGGAGTTGCCCTAATTCAACTTACCATACTTTTGTTGGTAAATGAATGACCAGAAAATTAAAAAATTTGTAAACGTGTACCTTGTTGTCCTTGCCTGCCACCCTCTGTGCAGTGTCCAGTATAGCCAGTGCTGCAGAGTAGGCTCTTCCACTTACTGCTGCCATGAACGGGGTCTGACCCTGGGCATCCCTGTATAAACAATTGTGTTATTTCAAGCAACACATTTCTATTGTAGCATTACGAAAACTGTGCCAGATGTCTTCATGATGAAATCTGTTGCAAGATGACTTATTCATTATCGTGAACAAATAATTTGCGGACTTGTAGTTCCGCGAATATGGCCATTTTCTCAGACCGCAAACTTTTGTTACCATGAATATAAAGACTTAGTGATTTACAGTACATTGTTTTTCACATGTTGTTTTGAAGATTCATTGTGATTTATTCAATAGATCAGTTATGTACAGAACAGAATGGGGCTATTTCCCACATTTTGAGGGGCAAATTGGAAATAACTGTGACTCACTTAGCGGAGAGAAGATCCACGAGATAGGGCTTCAGGACGGGCGTCTCACACAGCAGCGTCAGGATACACAGGGCATGGCCGCTCCTCTCCGCCGCGTCCGTGCTCGCTGGAAGTACGGTATTTTCATCAACGGAGCTCGCACACGAGTACGAACTAACAGAACCACAAGACCCCGTGAGCCCCCCAGCGGTCGCGGCATTCGTGGACAGACTGACATTGTCGTCCTCTGCAGGGGGTAGAGTCACGGGTTAGCTCGGGTAAATTACACCGACTTTAACCGTAAGGCCTAGGAAAAACAATGTTGTGTTTCCTGTTTCACTCTTGACAAAATCAGGGTCGGTAGGTAGGAATTTTTTTGTTTACCAAAGGAAAACATTTTGTTTTTGCTTAGTTTCCTCTTCTTCTCCAAACACAAAAGATCAATGACCTCAACCAGACAGTCTATCACCATGGTAACTTGTGTTGGGTTACATCATGTTGCAATTTTATAGCAGTTTTTCTAGGGATGGTCGGAAAACAGGAAACATAACATTTCTTTTCCTAGGCCTTAGTATTTGTGTTCTCTACAAAACCATTAGGCCACGCCAATTCCATTTGTTGGTTCTCAGAGGAGCATTTTGGGGTTAACAACCTGAATGGTTTATGTTTTTATTTCTTTTTGCAAATTAGAAAAAAATTGAGCAATTCTAGAAACAAGAATTGGTGTGGCCTTGTGAAACATTTCCCTGTTATTGCCCTTGCCTACCTGAGTTAGCAGACTCAAACAGGGGAGGGTCGGGCGGCCAGTTCAGGGTCGGGATGGGGTCACCGTCTTCCTGGGACGTCCCGCCGACAGCACGGGCCGCCGAGGTCGCTCGCCGCATCATCTCACGCAGGCTCATACTGCAGAATCATACAAATATCAGGTGAGAAATCTTAAATCCTACAGGTTCTGCAATGCTTAAAGATTTTTAAACTTTAGTCTGTGAATTGAAGTGAAGGACTTTTAATACAGATAATTAGGAGCAGGACTTCTTAGGACTTTTATACAGAGCATTAGGTGCAGGATTTGACACTCTTGATGTTTAGGATGTTGTAATTTAGTAATAGTTTATGTAATGTATATTTGTTGTGTGTATTTTTATATGTATCCAGGATTACCTGAAAAGCAGGCCAAATTGGCCTGAGTTGTAATTACTGGTTAAATAAATAAATTGAATTGAAAATTGAAAAAGAATAATCTTGCTACACCTTTGCTACGAATTTTATCTTCAACATCTCAAAAAATATTCATCACCAAGGTTCCAAGCTAGCTGTATTTTCTTATCTGCAAGGAGATTCTTATGTAATTGAACGGTACCCACTCTCCCTTTTTTCGTCTCAAGCAACTTTGAAGACTTCATGGAAAAAGCTACTCCTTCAGAATAAGATTGAAAAGCCGGAGGTCCCATGCATTTTGAGGAAAGTCACATCTTAAAGCCACACCTTGAACATGATGAAGATCCCACCACACTTATCTTAAAGAATCTTAAAGAGTAGGGATCCTTTCCAGTGTGACTGGATCAATTTTTACAGTCAGGTCTAATGCAACTGGTACAAAACTGGTGTGTTACAGGTGTTAATGGTGAACAAAACTAACAAACAAAGTACACTAGCTATAGCCCCTTACCTGCGTGTGCTTGTGCCTGTCCCCCCACTGCTGGACCCCCCGGTGGCTCCTGCCCCTGCCCCCCCTCCCCCTGAGCTGGAGGCTGCAGAGATGGCGTTGGCCAGGGCGTCCACCGCGTTACTGACAGCACTGATCCTGCTGGTGATGGACTCCCACTGAGCTGAGTTGGACGTTCCTGCTTCTGAAATTTAAAAATTATCTTGAGTTAACTTTGTACTAAAGTTTTTTGAGGCTGTAGGGGCAGTGGGCTGTTACTCCACTGTGTCTAGGGCAGAATGTCGGCAGAACGAAGTACTGTGCCTGATTTTCACAATCTCGTTGGATGTTTGGTCACCGTTGCATCAGAATTTTGCCTCTTGCAGGGGATATCTTCTCCGACATAACATTTGGGAACTACAGACAGGATGTTAACCTTTTATACAAGGATATATTTCGCGCAGGTGCAGTATCTTCTGCCGACGTGCTGTCTGGGGCTGTCTAGGGCTGGTTAGAGTGAGGAAACAGTCGGACACAACGTCTAGCCAGGAATGCCAGGGATTGAACCCAGGAACTCTCGATTTGGCAACACAGAATGGACATACAAAATGTATTTGCTACAATCTCTAAACTTTTGCATCACACTGTACATTTTGAACACAGCCAGTAGGCCAACTTTTCAAAACCTATCTACAGGTATTAAAAACAAAGTCTACCTGCAGACAGAAAGGATTCTTTAAAAATCTATCTATAGATATTGAAAACATAGTTCTCACCGTTGTTGCTGTTAGAGCTGTTGTTATCCTGGTTGGTCGTGGGGCAGCACATGGCGACACAGGCGTGGAACACGTTCCTGTTGCCATCACAACGCTCGCTCAGCACCTGCTGGATCGTGTTCTGGGTGTTGATGGAACCTGCCAGAGAAAAGGATTGGTTGGAGCTTACAGAGTTGTAAATTCTTACATTTTTTAATCTATCAGTGTAAATTCGTACATATAAAAATGTCCTACGTTTGAGTGTATGGACAAAATCCAATCGCATTAATGAATAAAGGAACGTGTATGAAAAAAATATTCTAAAGCTACATTACACCTACCTGTGTCTCTCTCCAGAGAGTACAGGAACTGTTTAACTGATTCATAGTCACAACGCAGAACATGGGGCATCAACAGCTGGGTCTGCATATGGGAGGACAAAAATACAGTATTTTAGACTTTCAGGAAAATACTAAGTCAAGCAATATCAAACATTAAGTGAATCTATCTGTCAAGAATATGCTGTACACTGAGTATAAAATCATTATCAATCAATCATCTACAGGCATCAGGTAACCTTTAAAAATTTGGGGCACAGCTCCAAATCTGGGTGCACAAAAGTGCATTATACACTCAGCATTTCAGCTATAGTACAAACATGAATAAACAAACTAAAGGCTCAAACAAACCTCAAATGCCAGTACCACGACCGCTGCTTTCTTCTTCAGTTCGGAGGCGCTGGGTAGGTCAATGAGAGACTGGATGCCCAGTCCGATACATCGCGCCGGGGGCAGGTCCAGCCAGACCGGGTCCCGGATCCCCTCGATGCAGTCCTTCGCTAGAGGATAGATGGCGCCGTTTCCATCTCTCAACAAGTTCACCACATCCTAAAAATTAAATTAAGAAAAACAATTAAAAAGAAGTCCACCACATCCTGAAATACAGTTGTTTATCATGTTGACTTTTACAGAAGGAAAACATATTGTTTTGTTCCATTTTTTCCTCTTCCGTTCCAAAGAAGTCAATGACCTGGACCAGACAGCTGTCACCATGGTGATTGGTGCTGTAGCAGACATTCTGTTCATTTAGATTACATTATGTAGCAAGTGGCAGTACAAATTTGGAGGGGCTGGTCACCATATTTATGAATGGGTTAAAGTAAGCGTAAACAGGACAGTAGCTTGTGAGGCTAGACAATATGAAGGGAAACATTATGTATCTGTTTTACAAAAAATATGCTACCTTTCCAGTTTCTATAAACTTTTTTTAGGAAAAGAAATTTTTTTTTTTATCACAACCTTTCAGAGTTGCCATCTTACCTGTCCTCCACTGTACAGAGTGATGGAGTTTTCAGCGTGACCGAGGAAAGCTGTGGCGTCTGTCGGGAACAGGCTCTCCTGTTCTGCCTTCCCCGTGCCGAGATCGTACACCAGGTACATCAGCCGCGATCCAACCTTCGCGATAACGTGCACGCCTGCTTGGAATGAGAAAAAGAGCAGGGGACATATTAATTTTCCAAAAAATGATTTGAAAATTCTTATTTGATGTAGAGAGACTTGTAGCCATGCATAGTTATCAACCAAGGATTGAGGTATTCAAAAACAAAGTTCCAATTGGAACTACTGGAGAGTGGAACTTTCTGCCACCAAGTACAGTAGGGGCATCATCACTAGAAAGCTTTAAACAATGTTTAGAGTTAAATGTGCAAAGGCTGGGCATAGCAAGTCGTTCGGTGTAATGTAGCTAGCTGCCTCTGTGCTGCGTGCCTGCAAAGCTGGTGTCTTTTTCGAGTGGTCATACCGGCTATACATAAATATTTTTCATTTCTTAACAGAACATATAATACCTCTGCTGTCCACGGTGACTGCCAGGATCTTGGCATTGTCCATGACGGGCAGCTTTTTGGGCATTCTCTGGAAACAGTCAGGCACCTTGGGCACTGCAGTGGGCTTCACAACCTGGGAGCGAGGACCAGGGCAAAATGGTACAGGCATTGATTACACTGGACAGCTATTACACATTGGTACAACATATTTGAGACACTTGCTTTAATCCATTGTATAAATAGCTCTTCATTATAAATAGCTCTCAAATTTTCTATGCAACTGTTCCTTTAAAATAATCTGTTCTATGTTGTCCTGATGATTGAAATTCACAAAAGTCAGAAACAAAGTCTAATTTATCTACAATAAAACAACTTTAACATCTAAGTAGCTAAAGGAAATACAGCCACGACAGGTAACATGAAGCTCACGGAACAAAGAGATGACAGTTAAATTTGAATGGACCAATGAGAAAGCAGACTCAATGTGGTTAAGCCAATAAAAAAGCAGCAAGTATTTGAACTTGCCTATGTGCAGCGTGAAAGCAGCCACGTTTTGAATCGGCCAATAAGAAAACTGCTAGTGTTTGCTGATGAAGGCAACCACATTTGAATGAGCCAATGACAGCACATAGCATGTTTGAATCGGCCAATGAGAGGTCAGCCAAATTTTGAATAAGCCAAAAATAAAACAGCTAGTTTTTGACAATGAGGGCAACCACATCTGAACAAGCCAATGACAGCACAGATCACGTTTGAATGGGCCAATGGGAAGGCAGGCAGATTTTGAATAAGCCAATGGAAGTACAGAGTGTAGATACCAGCATGGCTGTAGGAAAGTTCACCTGAAGCTCATCCTTCCTCAGTAGGCGACACTCCTGGAGCAGAGCGGCCGGGTCGTCGTGGCTCGTTGTCGGGCTGGGGTCGCGCTGATGAGGGAACCACACCGCTGCATACGCTCCGTCAATCTGAGGGATGAAATTAGAAAAAAACTGTCAAAAGACCATTGTAAAACAAATACAGGTCGGTACAATGCAGGACAATGTCACTTGGCATCTAGTTAAGATTTCTTACCTACAAGAAAGGAAAAAATAAGATAACTGATGTAGATGGCATGAAACTCCTGGACATTTTACTTGTTTACGTAATTTTCTTTTATCCATTGAAACAGATACAAAGAAATCTTTACTTATCCATAGCTTTAAGATTTTAAAGAATACATTTTTATAGTTTACCTTATTGAAACTTAAATGAAGTTCCTACTTACGTTACTGATACTAATGGTATACAATTAATCTTGCAAAACCTTGGCCTTACCTTCAGAACCTTCCCAACAGGCACTGATCTGACGTCCTCAATGAACACCACATCCTTCAGGGCCCAGCGTTCCTCGTTGGAGGCCTTACAGTCATCATCTTCCTTGGGTAGGACCAGAGGACGCTTCCGCTCTACAATACAGGAAACACAGTACATGTAGTTGTCTTTGTCAGAAGGGTACAAAATCTGTTTGCCTTCGTGTGGGTAGATTTAGTGGCATAACTCTTGAAGGCATGGATCGATGTTCATGATTTTTGGTAGGCAACTTAAAATTGGGGAAACCAAGGTCAAGTGCAAAAATGGGCTTCGTGGGGGTCCCTGCGTCAATGCAGTGGGGTTTATGTTACCAATTGAAGCCTTGCAGTATTTGTTGCAAATTCAAGGATGACTGTATGTTAAAGTGTATTATATTTTAAGTTGTTTTGAAAGAAAAACAAAAATTGGCTAGACAGAGGAAGAAAGAAGGAAGGGAATAGACCAAAGAGGAGAAAATATGAGAGAAGACAGAGATGGACAATAAGTTTTAAGTTTATCCTCTATAAGTTCATAACACTTCAAAAAAACAAAGTCAAGTCTAACAACAATAAAGGATATGGAGAAAGGACAACTTACTGAGAGACCCCACACTTGACACAGAGGGAGCATCACTACATGTTGAGGCAGGGGAGGGAGGGGGGCCCATGTCTGTCTTAGTCTCTGATTTGGCTTCCTTCACCCCCTCGGGTTTCCCAGACTTTGTATCTTCCTTCTGTGGCGACAGCACCTTAAATCTGTGAAAAAAAGAAAGTTCCAAAAGTTAGCAAACTGTACATACAAGTAATACATGTATAAAGGAATTCTGTGTTTGTAGAATACATAAATTACAATATGGTAACAGTTTTATCTAGTAGGAAAAAATTGTCATGAATTTTGCCTGTCCATTCAAAAAGCAAGTTTACACTTCACATGGCCAAAGTTTAATTCAAGCACTTCAGACCATAAGCTTTAAAGACAAAATACAACGATAGAAGAACCTAAAATTTGCTAAAACGCAGAAAAATTTGGCATTCATAAACAAAAAACTTACCTGCAAGTGTCGGACAGGTTCCAGGCTGACTCCAAGAGTTGCCCGACTTTCGGCACGGAGCCGACGGTTGTAAAAGCGAGCGCGCCGGCATGGTAGATGGGACAGCTGCGCAGGCAGACCTGCATGCCCGTGGTGATGTCACTCGACTTGGTGTCGCTGCCACTCTTCTTGGATCGTGTCCGAGCTTTCTCTACTAGCTTCTTTCGTTGGCTGAATGGCAGGACGCCCCTGGAAATGCAATAGAATAGATTAGAAGGGACAGAAGTATTGTTTTTGGTCATGCTAATCAATAGTTTGTGTGTCTGTGTCCATTCCGTCAATTGATCAATCAATGTGAAAAATACTCCAAGGGACCACCAAAAGTATGACTTAAGACTGTTAAAGTAAGTGCAGCCAACTGATTGGATAGTCTAAAAGGTTGACCAATCACACGACTATCCCCCAAACAAAGCAGCTTCCTGATTGGCTACAACTCTCAGAGGCTGACCAATCACAGGACCATAACCAAAATGATGCAGCTTTATGATTAGCTACAACTCTCACCAATCACAGGACTATCCCAAACAAAGCTGTCAGCTGATTGGCTAGAAGTTTCAGCAATTGACCAATCACAGGACTATCCCCAAACAAAGCAGCTTCCTGATTGGCTACTCACCACCAGTACAGTCCGCCAGACTCCAGGTGCACACAGGTGTACAGAGAACAGGTGTAGATGGCTGACATCCTCTCTCCCTGGAACTCTAGGAACACCTGGGCTGGATGTTCCAACTTTGTGGCCACAGAGCTCAGAGTTTCATCAACCCACGTGGCAACCTGGGAATGAAATAGTTTTGTCATATATACTGTAATAATGAGATAAGTCTACATGATGGCAAGAAATTAACGTTCAGCCAATTTTCAAGTGTAAAATAATCTATTGTTTGGAATTTCAATGTTTGATTGCATCATGAGAAGCTAAGAAAGAAAATGAAACAAAACAAAGAGCTGCTTACCTTGCCTGACTCAGTGACAGCAGATGCTCGGACAGAACAAGAAGAAATCAGGAGGACCTTCTCTCCATTTAAGCCTAAAGCTGAGCTCCGTGGATGGTGAACGGCTGAGTTCTGCAAACCATTAAAACATCATAAGAGCTATGATCAAAACAACAGATCTCTACTTTTGTGACATCACAGTTGTATAACATTAGAGTACATTGTATGTGCAAAACTATTGGTACCTTGCAAACCGTATTTCTTTGAAACTAACAGTTTTATGTAGATTTGAGTGATACAAAAGCTTGCAAAGTGAAGACTTGGGAGCAAGTCTTATGATCATGAAGTTACTTGCCAAACTGCAAACCAGAATGAGTTTTTCTTTGAAGCTACGAACTTTAAGGTTACCACAACAAAAGGCTAAACATGGCCAAAACGTACCTCAGGATTGCAGTAAGGTTCAGGGTCTGCCCATTTCCACTGGTAAAGCTGGCCGGACACACCGACAGCAATCAGTTCACTGTACATGGCAGCAATGTGGACAAATCTGGGAGTACCAGCAGCCTGGGGAACAGACAAGGTAGCAATGTCATAGAAGAATGAACAGTAAAATTTTCTTCTTATCTTCTCTCTTATGTTGATGAAGGTTAGACATCCAGGTAATGAGATACCAAAGTAACAAAAGCTACTCTGTAAAAGTGACTTTAAGAGAGCTTCTCTATTGCTTCAATACAACATTATTTTAATTAAATGTACCATAATCTTAGACATGTTACAATTGCTATTTTCTACTTTGTAGTGTCATAATAAGAGAAAGGATGTACAAATGTTTAAAAGACAGAGGGGGCAAATTCCACTTTGAAAAGTTCTATTTCTGATCGGCAAGATTTTCATACAATAGTCATACAACTTTCAAACAATGCTGTCAACATTGCATAAGCTTGATGACAGCCAATTCTATAGGAATAAAGATTTAATTACCTTTTCATTCCACCACTCCAGTTCCTCCCCAAACGACAGCGGTGTCTCGGGAGGAGGGTTTGTGGTTTTCTTGGCCTCAGCTGTCCCGCTGGTGCTGCCTGCCGAGCTGGCCGTGCCCAGTCCCGCCGCGTCACGCAGGGCGCTGTCCAGCCAGCGCGGGCGCTCCCGCAGGCGGAATACCGGGTCACGGTCACGCTCACGGTCAGAGTCACGATCACGGTCGCCTGGGTCTGCGTTCGCGAGAACAGGACATAAACATTTACTTTATCTGCATTCTTAGTCTTGATGTTACACAACAACTATGAAAATTATGATTCTTTCATCCTTGAAACTTGGGATAGAAATCCAGTGTTTTGGGGAGACTTTGCAAACCCCTAGTAGCTTCCTTTAAACTGCAGAATACAATGTCTTATGAATCCTATAAAGTACTGTATGCTTCCTTTGCAGAGAACTTGGCACTCTCCGTGTTTTCCTAGTTACTATTTCCTAGTAATAGAATTGATAGTCACCATTAGATTCTTGTAACTTGGAACAGAAATACAAGATTTTTAGAGACTTTCTTTTGGCCTTTTACTCACTAGTATAAATGTACTACAATGTATATCGTAAAGAATAGAGGACTTTGTGCACTCTAAGAGAGCTTTTTTATCCTGGTTTGATACATTGAAGGAGTTTTACTCACTAGATCTGGAAGCTCCCCTGACCCTGCTGCGTAGAGAAGCGTAACCAAACATGTCCTCAGAGAACATGTCAGCGTCGATGATCACACTGGGGTGGTCTGAGTGGAGACCAGCATCCAGCAGGGACATTAGGTCATCTATGGGCAAGGAAAAACACAACCATTATAAATTTTACACTAGAAAGGTAACATTTGCAAAGCAAATGCATTAAGTTTACCTTTGCATACGGTCTGCTCTGTTATTTCTTACTCAAAAACATTCACATACTAGTATATGGTCAGACAGGAGTCTAAATCCCTCCTGCTATAAAATTGCAACATGATATAACCCAACTTGTTGCCATGGTAATAGACAGTTTGGAATGAAGTTTGAAGTGACAAGCATGTCTCTCACCTCCCGGCATGTAGGAGTCGCTGGCATCATCATCGTTATCTCCTTCCTCATCATCTCTGCTTAGGAGATTGTTCACTGCCAAGTTCACATCAAGGTTCTAGATAAAACAAATAGAATTTATGAAGTTCAGGGTTCCAAATAAAACGTGCAGGCTATTGCAAGCAAAGAAAACTGAAAGACAAGAAAGGTAACATTTGCAAAGAAAATGCATAATGTTTACCTTCGCATATGGTCTGCTCTGTTAATTCTTACTCAAACATATTCATATATAATGGTGACAGGGAGTCTAAATCCCTCCTGCTATGAAATTGCAACATGATGTAACCCAACACTAGTTACCATGGTGATAGACTGCATGGTTCAGGTCATTGACCTTTTGTGTTTGGAGAAGAGGGAACTGAGCAAAAACAATATGTTTTCCTTCAATAAACATAAAAAGTACAAGAAAACAGGAGAATTAGGACATACCGTTCTCTGTAGCTCCCTGATGATGACACTGCGAGACTTCCCCTGTAGTACAACCTGCGCCTGGTTAACCAGTTCTTCTGGCACGACAGACGCGGGTACCATGGGTCGTGACCCCACGATCACGCTGGTGGTTCCCCGCGTGCCTCTACTGCCCTGTCCGCTGCCACGCACCACACGGCCGCGGGTCCTTGTTGGCAGTCTGGTCCCAGCACTGTTACTGTGGAGTAAACAGAATTGTGACATGAGAAACAATGTATTTCTGTTTTTATTCTATGGATCTTCAGTGTCTGGGTCTTAAGAAAGAATGAAACAAAGAATTTTACTTTACAATATCATACAATATTCACTTACTCACGATCACATATCATCTGTAGAAAATGAAGGATTCTCACTTTTTGTTGGGGTCATTCTTGGACAAGTCCAGTCGCTCTGTCAGGATACGGTAACTCATGCGACACACACGACCATCCTGCATGAAGAAAAGAAAATTGTTTAAGTTCATTGAATCTTCTTTCCTAGTATAATTACAAAGGAACAATTCCACAAAAAGCTCTCAAATCTACTGTACTGTACCATGCATAATTTCTGTTCTATTGTTGGTTTTGGAACACTTACAATCTACACCTATACAGACATAGAAAAACCGTAGAAATGGAAATATTCAAACATTCAAAACTAACCTCCAATAGGAAAGCAATATGGTTTGGTCCAACCACGCACTCCCTTACAACTTGGCCTCGAAGTTGGCTGATCGCTGGAGGGCTACATGAGCAGAAGTACCTCCATTGTAGTAAATATTATAATAATTTTTCAACTCAATTCAAGTTCACATTGCATCTCCATGTCAATAGCACATATGATTATCCCTAATGAGATTGTTTATGGATGAATTTCCTTATCATTACAACACAAAAATCTTGACAATTGAATTTACTAGCACACTTAAAACTGTCATGCATACTTTCAATCTTTATGTATTCCATTATCTACTATAACATGTGTACTTAACTGTTACATGAATACTAATGAAATGTACATAGATACATGTAGATTTAGTAGGATGTTTTTTTTTTAAATTTTTAGATCAACATTTATCTTGTGAAAGATCAGTTAGCAACCTTTTTTTTTTCAATAACATGCCAAAAATTTGACCATAAATTTTAACTGTTTATCCTTGATCTCTCCCCCATAATTTTTGGGAATGGCATGAATCCATTTTTGATGATCATGTTAGTGATCCTTACCTAACATACCCATGCTTGTTGATCTTGTCTGCAACTTCCTTCAGCCTGTTAAAAAAGAGGAACAAAAACATCAACATCATCCAAAAGAATCAAAATACAATGTATTATTAGTAATTTACATTTCTAATCATCTAATTATTAAATCTGCTCATAGCATATCAAGCAAAATTAGTTTGACAATAGAATGCTTCCCCCTAATCTGTAATGTACTACAGTAGGTTATACTATCTTTCAATTCAACCAGTGTAGGGGTGTTTTTTTTCTGGTATGAACCCTTTATTAGGCTTTAACCATCATAAATCTTGACAAACATTAATACATTACTTTAAGTTAATTATAAACATTAAACTTTAGCAGAGGAGAAACTTTACTTAACAAAATTTGTCCCTCAAAATGCGAATTGTAAGGTTATACTTATAGTGTCTCACTGAGTTCGAATCGTAAAATTTTCCTGGGAAGATGCCAGACCTCCTACGTACTATATTTGTATGATCATGACTTGCGCTATGCAAAGCTAGCCTATTTTATCTGACACCTATATATGCTATTAAAATTGTGAAGAGGACCCTGTGTACTCAGATGACACGCAAAGATTGTCACCATGTGGCTGCCAACAGGCTACCACAGTCTGCAATCTTTGTTGTTTAATCATCACTGTACAATGATTTAATTATTGATAAGCAAGTATCAGGACAATTCACTCTAGGAATCTTTCAGACATTTTAGCTTCCTGAAGAGTATACTAGATCTAAAAAGGCTGGCCTCCATGCTACAGTACTTATGTAAACAAAACGTATTAAACTACAATTTTATATAATTATGACTCATTTCTTCTCATGATGATGATGATGATGAGTCATGACTCATTTCTTCAAATTATATTGCAATATTACTACATGCACACTGCTGATCAAAATAACTGACTACAATGAGACAGAAAATATAATAGCTATCTAAAAATTCAATCGGTCACATACATCATGAACATTTGTAAGTTAATTATGTAACAGTGGGTGTCACCCATGCAACATGTGATATATTTTCTTTGTCTTATAATAATGTAATATCTTACACACGCACATGCCTGTAGTAATTTATGCAAAGACACGACCAGTTTGCTATTGCGATGGCCCGTTCAGTTACATAATAATCCCACCATATCCAGCACCACACACGCATCGTGCATCATGAAACCGTATCCTAAAAAATCCGGATATTTTCGACCGGCTCTCTTTGATTTCATCCGGCATGAAACCAAATCACACGTATGTATAATCATTACCATGAACCATCCTGTGAGAAAACTAAGATCTTTTACTGATCTTAAGCGATTTTGCGAAGAAAATTGCTTCTCGCATGTTTGACATTTTCGTACGTGCGGCGTTTCTAAACGTTTGCCGGCGATTTTGTAATGGCTGCTTGTCAAGACTCCATTTTGTCCTTCCCATTTTCTTGGCTCGCCGGTTTCAATGAACGGGGGAAATGTATGAATTACTGGCTTACCGATCGTTCAACTGGTCTTCTGTCCCGGGCAAAGGGTGCACCACAACGTGTATGGACGTCATCGCGCCCTCTTTCTCGGTTAATCTTTTCTAAAAGGGGCGAAATTCCCGAGTTTTTGCAACAAAAATCTCGGGACAAAGCCAAAATTTTCTTTAGCAAGACGCCATTTTGGATTGAATGTAGCGGAAAATGATAAACGACCCGTGATTGGTCGAAATTTCACTAATGCAGCTGTTACAAGTTAGCGAGAATCTGATTGGCTGTTGTTTTAACATTGATAAACTGTGTCGGCAACTTTGATTGGTTAAAGCTTTCCCAACTTGGCAAAACTTCTTATCCAGACTCCTATTGGTCTATCGCCCGGGAAGTATGGGAAATATCCAACATGGCTGCGCCCATCGTAAAATTTGCGTAATCGCAAGTTTTTATCAAGAAATTACCATTTTCCTATCACTTTCACCTCCGATCTACCACTTTTCGTCAGTTTTTGATCAAAGACTACACTAACAACATCCAGGACAAAAGCTAGGACGAAATTCGCAGGCGTTTTCGAGATAATTTGAGATTTTGATGGCGTCCGGCGATGCTCAAGTGACGCCTGCGGGTCGTCTGAAGTTGTTTCGGCACGTGAAGGGTGAGCATCTGTTTGCGGGGGTGAGCGGAGGGGTCATCTCAACACTCGTGCTGCATCCGCTGGACCTCATCAAGCTCAGATTCGCAGGTAAACAGGATCCCATCTTGATCGTTAGTTTTGCTTTTGTATGTGTTGTGAATCTCAATGGATGATTCATATTTTGATACGTAGCAAGTTACATGTGTATTAGACGCTACACGTAGTGTTTAAAAACAAGGACAACAATAGGTGATGATTGATTGATTGATTGTCGAACGGCCTTGCCTAGGGTACCAGTCTACTTACTAGGTTATGAATGAAATAATTCATGAATGTAAATATGATTTTACAATATTACATCATACAGCATGCAGTCTTCTACTAGTTAGACTAGACGTTTTGGTGTATTGATATGTGGAGCAGAACAGAATGGCTTTAAGTGTTATAATTTATGACAGGTGCTTTTAATTTGTATTCTTAAGACGATAATTTGGGTCCAAAACATACCCACACATATTGTTTACACGTCTCGTATTCAATGGTAATGTAAAAAAAAATGTAGTAAATAATTGTGTGACTGTGTGTTGTTTATTCCCAGTGAGTGATGGTCTTGCGAGCAGACCGACGTACCAGGGGATCCTGGACTGTGTCCTGGCCATCTACAGGGCACGGGGATTCCCAGGGCTGTATGCAGGGGTAACACCCAACGTGGTGGGAGCCGGAGCCTCGTGGGGGCTGTACTTCCTATTGTGAGTTAGGCTATATGATATATAATAACTCACCACAATTATGTATACATCCAACTCCTGTACATTTGGGACCGCATTGTAGATACATTTCACTGTAACCATGCATGTGTGTAGATATGTAAATATTGTACATTTGGGAATGCATCCATACAAATGTAGAAGTAGCACCTGTGCAGTGCAATGTGAACCAGCTGAATAAAAGAAAAAAGAGTCTCTTTACTCAGTGTCTGAGTATACTCAATGATGATGAAGACCATGTATACATAAATATTACTTTTCTGAATATGAATTGTGGTTTGTAATGCCATAAGTTATGTTTCTTCAGCTACAACGCAACCAAGCAGCACTGGCTGGAATGGCAGGGCATGCAGCCAAATGGCAACCTGGGACCAGGCAAACACATGGTGGCAGCAGCTAATGCAGGTCAGGGTTTACCTGCATTATGCCTGCATACAAGTTCCCTGTGAAGAACAATATGCAACCCCAACCAGTAACATACAGATCAAAGCAAATGGGACTTGAACCTCAAACCTTATAGTAATAAGGAGACCCATTTGGCAGCCAAGGCACCAAAACTACAAATCTCTTACATTTTAACCTTCTCCATGCTCCCCAACCCAGTGATCTCCCCAGAAATTTTTCAAGGGAGAGGTACTCCCTATTCGGTTGATGTCCCCCCAAAAAATCAGCGAATTTCCATGAAAATAGTAAGAGAAAACCCTAAATTTGAACACTTTGGGAGAGGTGCTAGGATTTTGGGGAGATGGGGAGCACCCTTGCTTCATTGCTTGGGGAGAGCCCTGCTAACCCCTTAACAGAGTTCTAGAATTGTACCCAAAACTGCTCCTTCAATGTGCTAATGGTTAAACGCTATTTCTCCCCAGGAGTGATAACACTGGCGTTCACTAACCCTATCTGGGTGGTGAAGACGCGTCTGTGTCTGCAGTACGAGAACGAGATGAGGAACGTGGCCGTTGGGAAGCGGTACCGGGGCATGGCCGACGCACTGGCCAAGATATGGAGACACGAGGGCATGAAGGGGATGTACAAGGTAGGGTTAGAGAACAGAAAGTACATTTGTAGACATAGAAAAGGTATAATTTACTGAGAGAACTAAGTCAGGGTGGCTTGGTGGAATTATGTTAGTAGATGTTAGAACGCAGTATATCATCATCATATGATCCATGATAAAATGTAAGTCTTGGCAGCCCCGCTGACAAGTTGTGAAGAAAAATTCAGAAGATAAGACAAGTTACTTCATATGGAAGAAAAAGTACTTTTCATGACATGTCAAGTACTAGTATTAACTTGAACTTGAACATGAATTGTACTTACTGGTATTCATGATTTTCTCTTTCCAGGGCTTCGTGCCAGGGTTGCTAGGTGTATCCCACGGTGCTTTGCAGTTCATGTCATACGAGGAGTTGAAAACACAGTACAACTTGTACCGAGGGACACCCAGGGACACTCATCTGGTGAGCTAAGGTCTTAAAATTGTCTCTACATCACAAGTGTGTACTAATTCTCTCAGTGTACATACAAAATGTATACGAGTACCATTTACCTTTGTGTCTAACTTTGTTCAATGTAGTCTCTACTTAGTTTATATATATTATTGGCTTATATGCAGCAATATTTGCTTTTTTGCTGCTCTATGAGAGGAGTGAACAGTGAAGTCTAAAACTATGTTGTTCTTATATGTACAAGATGCTGCAGTACCTGTGACAACTGTTAGGTGGTGCAGTTGATACCTCAGCCACTTGTTTGATTTGGGTACTAGTACTTTATTTTTCACACACAAAAAAGAAAAACAACAGTACTCAGTGATGTTGTCAGTAATAAACTAATATTCTTATCTATTTTTTTTCCAGAATCCCCTGGAGTACCTTACGATGGCAGCACTGTCCAAATTGTTCGCTGTGTCCACAACTTACCCATACCAAGTGGTCAGGGCCAGATTACAGGTCAGGAACATTTAACTTCTTACACAGGTTATATTTTGTTTGTTTGCTTGTTAGTTCCTAGTCCAGGATAGTTGGAAAAGCTAGTAAATGCTTGTTATGATACAGTGGATAATCATGATTGATGAAATCTAGGGAAAGATGGTTTTGGCAATACATGTATTTTCTGATTGTTTAATACCATAATATGTGTAGTACAACCTTAAATACATAATTGCTTGCAGTATATCAGAAGTAGCAAACACTTGTGTTGATGTAATGTTTGTGTCTATCTTATATTTTCCAGGACCAACACAACAAGTATGATGGGGTTATTGATGTAGTTAGGAAAACATGGAGGTAAGGATGTTTCTAGAGTGTATTTTATGTTTGTATGATTAACATTTTGATTATGTGTACTAGTATGTGTATGTCTGTGTGTTTGTGTGTATGCCTGTGTGTGTTTATGTCAGATTGTGTGATTGTATGTGTGTTTGTGTCTGTGTGTTTGTGTATGTCCATATGTGTGCCTGTGTGTGCATGTCTATCATATGTGTATGTAAAGCTTTCTCTGTGAGTACATACATGTGTCTGTGTTCCTACAATACCCAACATACACAGTGCAGCGTTGCTATTCATTGTCATTGGTGCAACTTTTGTTTCTAAGATACGAAGGATCACAGAGTATAGTATGGTTAAAGAAGTGAAGTCTACCACCATGTCTCCTGTTTTAACAAAGTTCTCCCACCTTGTCCCTCCAGAGGAGAAGGCATGGGTGGTTTCTACAAGGGAATCATACCCAACCTGCTCAGGGTCACCCCTGCCTGCTGTATCACGTTTGTCGTCTACGAGAACTTCATCAACTTCTTCAAGAAACCCAAGGACAGCAGCTGATAATGGTGAAATACTGTGACTTGACATTAGAATTTTTTATTTGGTTATCATGCTATAACCTAACCTTACTGTGTGGTATATATATATACATTTCCTGTCATGTAGTATCACGACTTTTCATTACACTATGAGTCTTTGACATATATTTGGTTATCACACTATTACATAAAATATATTGTAATAAAACTTAGAAATTATGGCCATCTATTGAGTGTGGTATTTTGAAGTGTAGTAATATGTAATTTACATTACAGTACATATGTATGCCTGTATTGAACAATTGTACATGTATGTATCGTATGAAGCAAACATAAGTTGAAATAGCCAGTGAAGAAGTTACTGGCACAGGATATATTACTCTCAGAACTTGTCGTGCTTTACCTTTACATTTTGCACTAATATTTACATATATTACGATGAAAGAAAATTATTGCATTTCTGTTCGTGGAAGGTTGGGGTCTTATTTGGGAATAGGTGGTGTTTGGTGAGATGATGTATGTTACGAAGAGGGTTCCCTTCTAGGCAAGCCATTTTGTACATGCGTATACAGAGTTGGGTAATGCAATAGTGTGGTATAGGCACGAAATCATGCATCCTGGCAAAATATGACGATATGACTATGCTTGAGCAGTATATATATACTTAACATGACATTTAGTTGCAATTTTGTGACCTTAACAGGCTGTTTATAGATAGGTTCTATTTTTAACTTGATAAGTAAAGGAGATGTTCTAACAATTTGAGTTAGCAAACAGATCAGAATATGGTGTGTGTTCGAGTAAGGTAGAAGTTAGAAGTAACATGAAGTACATGTACTTCAAGTCAGATTAGGTGATATGGGAATGGACAATGGAATATTTCAGACATGCCAATTTTATTTGCAATTTTAAGTAATAAAGTCTATATCCAGGATATGTATCCAGGATCCATCTATCTTTTTGTGTGTGTGTGTGTGTTCGGGCTCCGTTACAAAACAGATGGCACTGACTTTTGTTAACAAAACGGGAAAAGTGTAACATAACAATATGCATGTCATGCTTACTTCGTCACTTTGAAAGGAGGCTTGGCACTGCCCAACCCCAATTGTGTCGGTCACTACTGCAGAAATATTGACTTTGTGCGGCGTAAGTTGTGATGTACTCTCCTCTTTCCTGAAAGACAAAAGGAAAAGAGCATTGAGATGCTTTCACCGTAACATATGATGCTATCAGTATTGAAAACTGACGTGCATCTTTTCACATAGTTTCTGTGTACGTGGGCGTTGTACGCCTCACTGGAAACAAAAGGCCGACAAAACAAAAGCGGTCCGACTAGAAGTGATATCCCGGAAATAAAAAAAAGCGCATTATAAAGTTTAGGCTCCCTAGAAAGAACAGCCTTCTGTTGAGGCTACAGTTTGCGTTCAGAAGTCAGTGGGACTTAGAAATGGTCTGAAACTTCCGTGGGCACCAAAAAAATATTGTTTATTGACTTCCGCAAAACGCACTGAATGCGGTCATTGACTTTGACAAAGCGAAGTTTATGCGGCGCTACTATCCACCCATGACTGCCCCCAAAACGAAGTGCAAACTCTTTTCTTTAGTATCCGATGCCGATGCAACGCCCACGGATATTGGACACTTTGGGTTTCAGTTTCTCTCAGTTTTTCTATCACATGAATGGCAACGCCCCCCGCTGCATATTCGTTTTGTCTGAGTCCGAAGATGTTTGGCTATCCAGGTGTACCTGTGTCAACATCACCCATTGTACTGAGGGTGAATGCTTGACCGCCAGGGGTAACAGTGTCAAATTCATCACATGATGCATTCTTGGCTACAGCACTGAACACTAGCCTCCTTCGCAGACTTGTAAGGCGCGTCCTTTTTCTTCGGTGAGCGACGCGAGTTATTCCGCGGAGCTAGGGACGATTTTACCGCCGAATGAGTTTGCCGGGGTGAGACTGTTTCGCTGCCCAATTATAACTAACCGCTCTCCCCGGCAAAACTCCCTCGGCGGCAAAATCGTCGCTCCGCGGAATAACTCGCGTCGCCCTAGAAGTCTGCAAAGGAGGCTAACTGAACACCGTATATAAAGAGGAGCCGTCGGGGCTAGCATTTAGAGGAGACAGCACCAGCAGAGAAGGGCCGTGCTGACTGGTACGCCGTAAAGAAGAGGGCCAGCAGGGGCCCGACTCGTCTTTCATTTGGAGGTACAAGATAAAGTTCAGGTAAGAATGTACACTTATTGTTGAGGATAACGTGTCAATTATAAGGAAAACCCTACCACATAATTTCTTCTCCTCTTTAAGGGCACCCAATGCAATTTCAGGGCGACAAATTTGTACTTGTGTACTAGTTCTTAGTAGTTCTATTCAACATTCTACCAGACATAGTACCCGTTGAACCTATAACGTTATGTACTTTTTTATACACCCATACCATGCTAGTACCTGTTACAATCATTGTACAAAAAACTTTGACTTGACTTGACTATAAGTCACAAGGTGAAAGTCATAAGGTAAGTCGAAATCGAGAACGTGGCACCGACCACATTGAACGGCAAAACGTTTGGTCCTTGTGTTTCTTTTTTAAGTAAAAATAGCGCCATTTGCTTGCTTGTTTATGGAGATGGGGTAGACCCACCTAGATTGGGAATCTCTGTCGTAGATTTTTCCTAGGTTAAGCCTTTGCCCATTTGCCATGCATCATATACGTATGACAAGAGTATGATCAAACCGTGGACATGACATTGTTCCTGTTCATTGCAAACGTTTCAGACAGCCAGGAAAGTTTACCGCGTACTTGAGGAGTACATTGTATATGAAACTTTCCGCCGTCTGCAAGCTTGGCTGACGTGACGCGCATCTTTTCACATAGTTCTGTGCACGTGGGCGCTGTATACATGTACGCCCCACTGGGAACAAAACGGGGCGTAGGCTAGCCTCTACCAGGCATCGCGGATCGCAAATTGGATCTTCTCTGACCGGCTAGCTCCCGGGGCCCCTGGTATATTATCCCTTTATTTCTACTATGTTTCCAGCGATCCGCGGTGACTGGTAGAGGCTAGGCGTAATGCTGGGGTCACATTTCCAAGCCGGGGCCCGGCCGGGCTGTTTCAATTAACGAAAAATCAACAATTTTCATAAAGAATATACGTAAATAGTTCCATTGTTGATATTTTTTAACCTTTCTGTGCTTTGTTGCGTTTTATACCATACTTTTCGTTCCAAATGACTACCCGGCCGGGCCCCGGTTTGGAAATGTGACCTACATGTAAGCATAAGCCGGCAGAACAAAAGCGGTCCAGATAGAAGTGATAAGCCGGAAAGAAAAAAGCGCATTATAAAAAAGTTAAGGCTCCCAGAAAGAACAGTCGTAGAGAAGTGCAAAGCAGCACCTATTTCAAGCAGAAGTCAGTGGGACTTTGTAATGGTCAGAAACTTCAGCTCCAGGGTAGCAGCTGGTCTATCATTCTTTTTGTGTGGCCACCCTGCCGCTAACATGTACTTTCGTTGAAAACCTATAGTCCATCTAGATTGGGAATTCTGTCTTAGATTTTTCCAAGGTTAAGCCTTTGCCCATTTGCTATTTCATCATATAAGTATGACAAGGGCATGATCGAACCGTGGACATGACATTGTTCCTGTTCATTGCAAAAGTCTCAGACAGCCAGGAAAGTTTACCGTGTACCGCGTCAATATTGGCTGACGTGCCGGACTACCTCATGCTAGATTTTTGTCGATTTATGTTTATGTTAACCCTGTGAGAGTTTGGTATTACGCGCTCGATTCAACATTAGCAGGGGAGCGGGTATCAGTTCCATTGAAGCATTATACAAGTTGTACAGACTTCCCAAAGCTGACGCGCATCTTTTCACATAGTTTCTGTGTACGCCTCACTGGAAACAACTAAACAAGGCGAAGGTCGGTAAAACAAAAGCGGTTCGAGTAGAAGTGATATGCCGGAAACAAACAAAAAAACGCATTTTAAAGTTAAAGCTCCCCAGAAAGAACAGCCATAGAGCCTTCTATTGAAGCTACAGGTTGCGTTCTGAAGTCAGCGGGACTTAAGCCTTGGTCACAACCCGCCGTACGTGCATCTGCGTGTTGCAAAAACGTGGGCAAACGTAGGGGATCCGTGCGTGGTGAGTACCACCTCCGTACGGAATATATGCCTGCGGATTTGGGAGCACGTAGACACGCAGTAGAACTTAAAGTGCATGTAAAACTTTTTCTACGTGCGGTCTGCGGATTCACCACCCGTGCGTGCGAGTACGGGCGACGCGCGTGCCCCGTACGTATCGTGTATAAGACGCACGTGTGAGTACGGCCTCCTTACGGTAAAGTTGCAATCGCACAGATATCGCACGTTGTAAGCACATACAACCCACTTTCCACTTGCGCAACGAACGATGCACGCAACCGCTGACGGCCAGACGTGGCGTGCAGTCCACACTCTTACACCTCGCGCAACCGTGCGATTCACGTGCGTCGACGCCTCTCCTTCCCCACGTTTTCAAAATTTCAGAAAAACGTAGCAAACGTGGCCTCCCCCCCCCAAAAAAAACGTACGGACAAAAAGCACGAACGGCGGGTTGTGACCAGGGCTTTAGTAATGGCCAAAAACTTCCGTGGACTTCCGCAAAAGCTTTTGATTTGATTAATCCATGGAGGTAAATTCTTAATCGTTACAAAATGTTTCACATTTGGGAAGCATAGCATGCAGGATTCCGCTGGATGCTATTCGAGTTCCTCGCGGTAACTCTGGGCTCCAGGGTAGCAGCTAGTCTATCATTCTTTTTGTGTGGCCACCCTGCCGCTAACATGAGGGGTCAGTGACTGTACAGATCGAAGTTGTATACTTTCGTGGAACCAAATACACCTAGACTACCTTTAGCTAGATTGGGAATTCTGTCTAAGATTTTTCCAAGGTTAAACTTTTGCCCATTTGCTATTTCAACATATAAGTATGACAAGAGTATGATCAAACCGTGGACATGACATTGTTCCTGTTCATTGTAAAAGTCTGAGACAGCCAGGAAAGTTTACCGCGTCAAACTTAGCTGACGTGCCGGACTATATATTCATGTTAGATCCATGTCAATGTTATGTTTATGTTAACCTTGTGAGAGTTTTGTATTACGCGCTTGATTCAACATTAGCAGGGGAGGGGTGTATCAATTCCATCGAAGCATTCAATATACATGCACAAGCTTTTCCAAAGCTGACGCGCATCTTTTCACATAGTTCTGTGCACGTGGGCGTTGTACGCCTCACCCGAAACAAATAAATAAGGTGAAGGCCGGTAGAACAAAAGCGGTTCGAGTAGAAGTGATATGCCGGAAACAAAAAAAAGCGCATTTTAAAGTCAAGGCTCTCCAGAAAGAACAGTCGTAGAGCCTTCTATTGAGGCTACAGTTTGCGTTCTGAAGTCAGCGGGACTTAGAAATGGTCTGAAACGTCCGTGGGCAACAAAAATATTATTTGTTGACTTCCGCAAAATCTTTTGATTTGATTAATCCATGGAGGTAAATTCTTAATCGTTACAAAATGTTTCACATTTGGGAAGCATAGCATGCAGGATTCCGCTGGATGCTATTCGAGTTCCTCGCGGTAACTCTGGGCTCCAGGGTAGCAGCTAGTCTATCATTCTTTTTGTGTGGCCACCCTACCACTATCATGAGGGGTCAGTGACTGTACAGATCGAAGTTGTATACTTTCGTGGAACCAAGTACACCTAGACCACCTTTAGCTAGATTGGGAATTCTGTCTAAGATTTTTCCAAGGTTAAGCTTTTGCCCATTTGCTATTTCATCATATAAGTATGACAAGGGCATGATCGAACCGTGGACATGACATTGTTCCTGTTCATTGTAAAAGTCTCAGACAGCCAGGAAAGTTTACCGTGTACCGCGTCAAGCTTGACTGACGTGCCGGACTAACTCATGCTAGATTTATGTCAATGTTATGTTTATGTTAACCTTGTGGGAGTTTTGTATTACGCGCTCGATTCAACATTAGCAGGGGAGCGGGTATCAGTTCCATTGAAGCATTATACAAGCTTCAGGCTTCCCGACGCGCATCAATTCACTGGCATAGTTTCTGTGCACGGGGGGGGGG